GCATCGACGGCCGCGACCGACGGCTTGGGCCGTGGGCGCCCTGCCAGGGCAGGACGTGCAGCCGAGCTCGAAGTTGTCCAGCGATCGTGCGAACGTGATCTCCGCTTTGCGCTGGGGATAAAATTGCACAAACAAGCTACTTGCGGCCTTTCGGTGGGCGAATGATGCCGTATCGTCTCGGAGCGTCGTCGGTCCAGTCGGTCGTCAAAGTCGAAGCCCACAGAGACCCGCAAGAGGCGAGGATCTCACACGGAGAACGCTGGAAACGACTCGGGAACGACATGGCCGACAGGGCCGCGAAGCGTGGAACCGCTCGTCACCCCCGAGCTTCGGATGCTGATGCTTTAGAGCTGAATTGGCGATCAAGGTATCGAAGGAGGTATGCAAATTACCCGCGAGGCTGCTCTCTCTTTGGCCGCCTCCCGACCTGACTGACTGCCAGTCATTCCGCCACCATCTTCGCCCGCGCCTCCGACCAAGCCGCACAGTTGGGCTCTGGAGATGCGGGTGGGGACGCGTGCTACCTTCTGACGATGCCAGCAGTGCCTCATGTCGCCTAAGACTTGTGGAAGAGGGCCGCATGTTAGAAGATCCTGCATGGATGTTTGTGCATGCGCTTGGAAGGATCTTATCTGCATGCGCTTGGCCACAATGCAATGTCGTTGCTAGTGTCAGATGGTCCCTTCAGTCCAGTTGGCCTGGAGTGCCATTCTTACGCGGCGCTGGGCTACGTGCGTGGCCTGGCCCGGCAATTCCGACAACCAACTAAGTAGACGACTTACACGTTCATGCTTATCAGCTGTGGCCGTCACCCCACGAGACCCGAACTCACCGTCGAGTCTGTGCCGCGGCGTGAAGTCTGTGCATGCGGTGTCACATTCCGGCCGCGTGGCCGCCACTCTGTCCGAGCCGAGGGTCGATCCGTGCGGGGAGGCGCATAACGGACTCTGCAAAAGCAACTCGCGAAGCCCCTCTCGAAGCGGAGCTCGCCGAGGCGAGGCTGGCTCATCCAAGCTCTTGCCCGCAAGTTCCACCTGCCACATGTAAATGGATGGCGAAATCTGCAGTGTCTCTGGATCCCCGCGTGCTCGGTGCTCTTTCCCTCTGTGAAAGCGCCGTCCACCAAGGTGCATGCTTAGCAATTCATGTCAAACATCCATCCGCCCTCCTCCCTCCTCCCTCCTCCTTTCCCCCACCTCCCGCATTCCTCCTCCCTCCATATTCTCCCCTCCCTCTCCCCTCCTCTCTCCTCCTCCTCCGCCTCCTTTTCTTCTTCGTCCTCCTCCTCCTGCTCCTCCTCCTGCTCTTGCTCCTGCTCCTGGTCCTCATCCTCCTCAGGCTCCTCCTCATCATCATCATCAGCATCCTCGTCCTCCTCCTCCTCCGCCTCCTGGTCCTCCTGCTCTTGCTCCTCCTCCTCCTCCACCTCCGCATATGCCTCCTCCTCCTCCTCCTGCTCCTCCTCCTCCTCCTTCTTCTCCTCCTCCTCGTCCTCCTCCTCCTCTTCCTCCTCCTCCTCCTTTTCCTTTTCCTCCTCCTCCTCCTCCTCCTCTTCCTCCTTCTCCCACGTGTCGCGGCCCCCAGAGGGCGAGGAGGAGGATCGAGGGGGATCGGGGACGGGTTTCACAAAAATCCGACCCTCGATGATCGAGGGGGGGAGGAGGAGGAGGGGGACGAGGAGAAGAAGGAGGAGGAGGACGAGGAGGAGGAGGGAGAAAAAAAATGGGAATGGAAATGGTCAAATGACAAGGTCGTAACTAATTAAGACTGTCTCCACTCAGATGATGAAGGAGCCGTGTACAACTGGTACTGGTGGAAGATGTAGAGAGGAGGATGAACACAAATAAAGTAAATTGAAATGAACAGGATCCCAACACATACACATGGAGCACTGCCGCCAAACTGAGGATAAGACAAGTTATCCTCTGAAGCAAGCCACCAGAGACAACAGCCAAACTGAAAAGACCAGCGCCTAAGCTGAAATGCAATCGGCTCTATGAGGCCCTACCGTAGATCACTGGGCTACCTCGCAAGAGATCGCTTCAGCCACACACAGCCTCGCCACTGGGGCTCGAAGCCCGCGTGCCTCCAACCCAACCCTCGGCCTGGGACGGACGTTGAAATTGACGTTCAGGAGGAACCCAGCACGTCAATCTTGCAAAACTCAGGAGGAGGAGAAGTGGGAGAAGAAGGAGAAGGGGAAGGATGAGGAGGAGGAGGAAGGAGGAGGAGGAGGAGGAGGAGGAGGACCAGAGCAGAAGCAACGAAGCTGAAAGGCGCCCTCCCGCTCCGGGTCCCCTCCTCGCGAAGTCCCTGCAAGCCCTCCCGCTCACTGCGAGAAGCGTCCCCTTGAACGACGAGCATCCCATGCGCATGCCATTCAGGCGAGAGCCCCGTTTTGAAGAGGAACTGGACGAGTCTTCAAGGATAGCCCCCCCGGAGCTCCCCAGCGCTGCGCTCCGACCAGAGAAGCTCGAGGGGAACCCAGCCCTAGCGACGGGGGCAGAGAGACCACAGGGGAGAGCGAGGAGGAAACGGATCGAAGAGGAGGAAGAGCATGAAGCCGATAAGGACTGTAAAAGAATAATGACTACGATCCGCTGCAGCGTTTGAAGGGGGGACACATCATGAGACACCTTGAAGAATCCGCTGGCCCCCTGGTGGGTCCGCGTGGCAGAGGCTTTCCTGCAACCTGCCTCAGCTCCAGCTCCCAGCCTCCAATGCTGTCATCCTGTAGTATGTTTCCTGATGTAAACTGTCACTGTCCGCGAGAGGAGGACCAAAAACGACCCCGCTGCCGTCCCCGAATCGAGTGCTCTAAAGTTCGGGGGGGGGCCTGGGATACATACACACACTCGAGATTCGCGTCCCCGAAGCAACAATCCCAGTCCCCCGCAAATTAACCACGAAATTCGCTCTCCCGACGCCGCATTCGCGAACCCGAGGCCATCATCCCTTGCAAAGTACCATGAATTCGCGTCCCCGAGGCCACGAACCCGACTCTTTCCCAAAAGAACACTCCCAGTACATTACAAAAGATTTGGCGCCCCCGAGGCGACGATCCCAGGCGCATCACGCCAAGTTCTCGCCCCCGAGGCCACGATCCCTCGCAAACGACGTCACGTTTACCAGGCGTCCTCGCAGGAGGTCTCGATGTTGCTTCAAGTCGGCAGCCAGGCATTCTGACACAGGAGCAAATATTTTCGTTCGCGGCCATAACACGCGCTATGGGGGAGGAGGGAGGGGGCGGGCAAGAGGGGGCATAACGTAGCGCCCCCCCTCCCACCCAGACTGTGGTGCCAGACGCACTGCGGCAGTGCTGGGGACGCACTGAGGGGGCTAGCGTTACGTTATTGGGGGGAGGGGGGGAGGTAGTAGAAAAAGAAGAAGAATCGCATGAACATAAACTGTCGACGCTCCGCGCGGTTTTCTTGGATCCGCTCCAGGGCCCTCTCCCTAGCGCGCGGAGCGCGCCAGGGGCCCAGGCGCCGATCCAAGAAATCCGCGCGGAGCGCCAAAAGATTCTGTTTGTGGCGTTTTTTCTTGTTCGAGGTAGGGGGCATGACGCTCGTTACGGCCCAGAGGGTGCAAAGACACTCTCCAGCTCTAGCATATCCCATTCTGATACCAGTGGAGGCCAACCCACAGGAAACCTTCCCCAAGAAACCCAACCGTGAGACCCCAGGACGTCCATGGATGCCTGGTGCGGGAGCGCCACGCTCTCCGTCGCAAGACATCGAAACCCAAGAAGCTCAGGGCAACCTGGAGGCGAGCAGGGTGCTTCTTGGCAGGGGGTCCCCCTGTAGAGTTAGGTCGGGCCTGTCCCCCTGCAGGGGGATTCTGGACCAAAAATAAAAAAAATACCCCAGACATGCTCAAAAGATGCCCAAACATACTCGAAAAATAGTCCCCGTACTTTTTACTACGTTTGAATGCTTCCCCCTGCAGAGGGGCAGCCCCGACTTGACTGGTAGAGAGAGGGCGCCGGCCGGCCGAGGGCGAAGCCCCTCGCGGAGGGCCGGAGGCGCCGGCTGTTCGCACCACTCCGGGGGGCTGATGCCGCGCGCCCCCCCGCCGGGTGGAGGCCTCGGGCCCTCGGCAGGAGCACGCGGAGGGCCCCCAAGGGCACGGCAGAGGAGAAGGAGGAGGAGCAGAGCAGCGCCGACGAGCCGAGGGCGCGCCATTGTAAAACAAAACGACTGCAGCCAGAGGCCTCCATTGAGGAGGAGGGGCCCAGGAGGACGAGGAGGAGGAGGAGGCGGAGGAGGAGGAGGGTTGGAGGAGGTGGAGGAGGAGGAGGAGGAGGAGGGAGGGAGGGAGGGAGGGAGGGAGGGAGGGAGGGAGGGAGGGAGGCGGCGGCGGAGGAGGAGGAGGTGATGCCACGGCCGCATGCCCTCCGAAGTCGGCGGAGGAGAGCCAACGCCGCGCTGGGGGGGGGGGGAGGGAGCGTGCTCCTCGGCACGGCGGAGGTCGCTGCTCTTGGCGCACGCGTGGATCAGCGTGGAGTAGCTGATCACGTCGGCCTATGGTGTGGGCGCGGCCGCGAGAAGCCCTCGCGAGAAACCCAGCCCAGGAGGCATGCCCGCGGACGAGGGGCGGGGGGCGAGGGCGTGGCAGGGGCCGAGGGAAGGAGAGGTGGTCGGCGCGCCATGGCACGAGAGGCAGCAGGCCTTGAAAGCTGGGCCGCGGCATGCACCTGCCACGAGCGTCAAGAGGTACGTGCCAAGGTCTCGCTGAACCCTTCCTGCCACACCTCTTGGGGGTCGCCGCACCATGGCACGGGGCACGCGCGCGGACCTGGGGGGGGAACCCAGAGCACCCCGAGCGCACCGGCTCCTCCGACGGCTGCGGGACGTCACCGCGCAGCTCGCGGAGCAGAGACACCCGGGATGCCCCGACGAAGAGCAGGTGGCTTCTCGATGCGCGCCCCCACTGTTCCAGAGGATCGAGCAGCGGGCAGAAGAAACACCCTGACGATGAGCACCCCTGCAACTGAAGCCCCCAATTGGGGAAATCGAAAAGTACCGATACCCCAACTCCGCGGACCTCTCCCGGGGTGTGTTCTGACCAAAATTTCGAGGCGACTCCAACGGTGGCGCCGAGGGCATCCCAGGAGGTCGAAAACGGGGAAAGCGCGGAAAGGGTAGCGATATACGAGCACCTCTTCCTCATCTGATCAGTAGTAGGGGCACTTCAGGTTGTTGAGCAGGGTCTGACCGTCCCGGCATTCCTATAGGCCTACCACGACATATCCTTACAACCCGTAGAAGTGCTAAGGACAAAAATGATCTTAGAATTGAAGCCCGATGTGTTCAAACAAGACGGTCGCAACCAGAAATGTTCTCTAAGAACATCTCTTGCAGACCACAAAGAAGCCTAGAACATTATTTGGTGGGCCTATAGGCCAGCCAGGACGCCTCGCCACTGCTTGAGGTTGGGCATGGAGCGGGGCAAGCCCACTTCAGATGGCAACCGCCGAGGGATGCTCCGCAAAAGCCCACCGTGTGGGTCGGGGTGGTACTTCCTTCACGGCTCGAGGGTAGAGGCTTTCGGGTCACCGACGGGTCGCGCTGGTCGAGGATCGGCTGTCGAGGCCGACCATCGAGGGTCGACCATCGAGGGTGCAGGGTCGGGCAGTACAGTCAAAATCTATGACAAGGACGGGCGCTAAGTACGAGAGGGCCTTGGACGCCGACACTGGCACTGTCTGGGCGGCGGACTGCCAACACCCCAAAGGGCTGGCCAGCGAACGCTGCGAAGGACGGACCGCAGAGGCAAGGCCGCGAGGGCACCCTCAGGAAATCCGTGCGTCCCTACTATGAGTTTTTGAAGGGGCCCTGGGACACACAAATAAATACACACAAATAAAAATATTCCCCATATTTTCCCATAGTTTCTGGGCTGCTGTCTTCCCCCCCCCACTTCCCATAGTTCCCCATATTTTCCCGGGATTCGACGATTCATTGTGTCTGTGTGCTTGTTTCCCTCCTGAGTTTTGACTGCATCGGCAACGCCTGCTGGCCCAGGACCGACGAACGGGCGTCGAGGGTCGGGGATCCAGGGCCGAGCCCGAGCGGGGGGCAGACTGCACGTGTCGGCCACGCGCAGGAGGGGGCCGGAGGGAGGGGCCAGGCTTCTCACAGGCACCCTGCCCCTCAGGAAGCGCGGGCCCCAGATCTACAGGCTATGCAGATTCACGCCGTCGACTTCTCAGGAGCAGCCTGCTCCCAAGAGGCCTTCCCCCCTCCCCCCGCCCCTCCTCCTCCTCCTCGTCTGTCCCATCGCGGCGTCATCCGCATCGACTCCGCGCCGAATCCATGTGGAACACCACATCCACATCGAATTCCGCGTCAAGTCCGCGTCGAATCTGCGTCAGACTTGGGCAGGATACAAAAGAAGACGGCGAGACGAGGTCCCCCGAAGATGCAACGTAAGGATACCTCCAGAGAGGATAGAAGGAGGGCGGGGTGCGGCTCGGGGAAAAAACAATGACGTACACCAGGGCTGAACCTAAACGGTGTTTTTCGTTTTCGTCTTCTTCTCGTTTTCCCTCGTTTTGACTTCAATCCGCCTCCACCGCAAAACGACGTCGAAACGAAACCGGTCCACGAAATCGCCAAAACACCGTTCAGGTCCAGCCCTAACGCACACAGTTGGGCGCCCGAGTTATCCGGGGTAACTCGGGTCCGGGGTAATTCGGGCTTGGATTCCCGAAAAACGAACCCGAGTCAGCCCTGACCCGAGTTACCCCTGATGATTCGGGGCTCTGACACAGTGTTACGCACAAGCTCTCGGAGGGCCGCGCGGATTCCTCGGAGTGGCGCCGGCGCCTCCGGCGGCGCCTCCGGCGGCGCCGCTGGCGCGCTCCAAGCGCCAGGCAGGGCGGCCCAGCGCCGATCCAAGAACTCCGCGCGGACGTCCGAAAGCCGATGTCTGCTGAAGGGGCCCTGGGACACACAAATACCTACACACAAGTAAAAAAGATCCCCCATATTTCCCTGATACTTTCGGGGTTTGTGTCTTCCCCCCCACATCCCATATCTTCCTACATGTTCCTGGGGAGTCGAGGATGGATTCTGTCTGTGTGTTTTTCCCTCCTCCTGGAAGAGCTCCGCGCGGACGTCCGGAAGCCGACGTCTCTGTCCGCAGGGCCTGCCCCGACGACGCGGGCCCCGGCTGCCGGCACACCGCGCGAGCCCTGTGGGCCTGCCGCCGCGGCCCCGAGAGAGGGGGCCCAAGCATAGACACCACCACCCACCTCCCTCCCCTACCCCTCCCTGCCGCTGGAGAGAGGAGGGGGGAGGAATCGACGTGGTGGTGGTGCATACTCCTTGGGCCGGCCCCCACGAGAAGGTGCTGGAGGGAGGCGCCCTCTGAGCACCGTCCAATCAATCCCCATCCCCACCAGCGTGAGCTGGGCCCCACCACTGGCCGAGAAACCTCCCTGATGGGGATATAGGCTGCTCTCTTCGGGTGTCGAGGGGATGCGGATCGATTAAAAGACACTGACCTTCCGTCACATGTCGCTTGCATGCCCCCCTCTTGCTGAAGGCCATATAAAGCCCCAGAGCAGCCGACGTGCGAACTCGAATGCCCGCGCCGTCGTCGTCGCCGGCATTACCAATGGAACGAACCCGCCGTTAGCAACTTCATGTATGTCGCAAGGTGCGCGGCAGGTTGGCCCCGAGGGGGGGGGATACCCGACCCTTCCTTTCCTTGCTCCGCCGTCCCGAATCTCTCCCCCCCTTTCCGATGCATCGTGTAGGACCCCCCCTTTGCAAACGGTTTGCATCCGCCACAGGGCCTTGTGCCCAGTGGGCGTGTTACAATGCTGCGGTTGTCTTGGACGTTGTTAATGTTTTCCAGCCCCCCCCGTCCATCGTCACGCGCGTGGTCGAGATATCGCGTCTCTCAGAAATTGCGTTCCGGTTGGCTTTTCGGCCTCGAAGCGGCCAAGATGGCCTCCAGGACGGCTTCACAGACAGCCCAGACGACACCAAGACGGCCTCAGATGGCGCAAGACGGCTCAAGATGCTTTGAAGACGGCCTCAAGACGGCCCGAGAGGCCTCCAACACAGCCCAAGAGGGCATCAAGAGACCCTCCAGGAGAGCCAGCACAGTCCAAAATCATTGATTTCCTCATGGGTTTAGCTGATTTTGAGGTGCTTGCCCGCTTGGGTTCCCGACCGCCCATGACGGCCTAAGGGGCTAGCGAGACAGCTCTAATCTAAGACGGCCCACGAGGCCCCCAAGAGGGCCCCCCAGGAGGCACCCAAGAGGGCCCCAAAACAACCTAAAAGCGCCCCAAGGGGGCACCCAGACGGCTCAGAGAGGAGGTCTCAAGAGGCCCCGAAGGGGGCTGCAAGGGGGTTGTTCCTGCTCGTCCTCATGTTCTCCCTATCGTCTTCTTCTTCCTCCTCCGCCTCCTCCACTCGCTGAGATGCCGCGGGGTTTGCACTCGACCTCCATCCTACCGCGCGAACGAAGATTGGGCGCCCGAGTAATCCGGGATAACTCGGGTCCGGGGTAACTCGGGTTTGGATTCCCGAAAAAAAGAAACCCGAGTTAGCCCTGACCCGAGTTACCCCTGATGATTCGGGGCTCTGGACGCCCGAGTTATCCGGGGTAACTCGGGTCCGGGGTAAGTCGGGTTGGGATTCCCGAAAAAGGAACCCGAGTTATCCCTGACCCGAGTTACCCCTGATGATTCAGGGCTCTGAGAAGACGAGGTCGATTTCACGACCAATCCTTATCATACCACTTGTCGAAACTGCGCTGTTCGCACAATCGGTCCCTTTCCAGCAGAGCATGTTGTACCGGCGCGGTGGCGGGGTTTGCCGCACGCAACCAAATACATACATACACCATACATACACAAACACATTATATCCGCCGGCCCCCTTGCGGGGCCATCTGGCTGCGAGGATTAAGGTTGCTGCTCCCTGCGCCAGTTCCAGTTTCCAGTTTACATTTTTACAATACGTTACTGTCCGCGCGAGGGGTGGGGCCGAAAAGAGCCCTGGTTAGCGTCCCCCGGGAGGGTTCTCAGAATTTCTGGGGGGGCGTGGGACATGCAAAAATACATGAGTTTCGTGCCCCCGAAGCCAGAATCCCTTGCAAATCACAATGTGTTCGCGCCCCCGAGGCCACGATCCCTTGTAAATTACACCAAATTCGCGTCTCCGAAACCACGATCCCTCGTAATTTACGCAACAGTCCCGTCTCCGAGGCCACGATCCCTTGCAAATTACTCCACATTCGCGCCCTCGAGGCAACGATCCCTTGTATTTTACACCACAGTCGCGCCCCCAAAGCCACGATCCCATGTAATTTATATAGTGTTCGCGCCCCCGAGGCCACGATCCTTTGTAAATTACTACAAATTCGCGCCCCTGACGCCACGATCCTTAGTAAATTACGCAGCGGGCGCGCCCCCGAGGCCACGAATCCGCCTTGCGGAGGCTGCAGAAAAGGCGCTCCCCCTCTCCAAAGCAGAATAACGGTAATTTTCTGTATTGGGATATGTGCTCCGCTGGTATTCTTTTGCCCCCCCCCGTTTCTGGAAAATTCGGCGGTGGGTTCCACAGTCACCCCCCCCAGGCCACGATCCCTCGTAAGTTACGCCGCATTTGCGCCCGAGGCCACGATCCCGCGCGAATTACGCCACATTCGCGCCCCCGAGGCAACGACCCCTGGTAAATTTCGCCGCTGTCGCGCCCCCCAGGCCACGATCCTTCGTAAATTACACCACGTTCGCGTCCCCGAGGCCACGATCCCTTGCAAATTAAACAAAATTCGCGCGCACCCCCCACGCTACGAATCCACCTCGCGGAAGCTGCCCAAAAGCGCCACTCCTTCTCCAGAGCAGAAAAAATAACCTTCCCAGAGACTGCCTGAAGCAATCCCCAGCCGTTCCCAGAGCGCTTCCAGTAACAACTGGAGGAAAATGCCAAAAATGCAAAAAAGCGTTCAACAACAACTTCAACATCTCAATCTGTTTTGCTCATCGCCAGCCGCCCTAGCATGACGTTCCCGAATGTCATCAAGACGGTGCTCGGACATCCAAATATAGTTCTGATGTATCCCATTATGATAGAGAGGGGGCCGGCGGCAGGGGGCGAATCCCTTACGGATATGTACTAGAACCACGTGCGCGCGCCACGCGCGCTTAGGCTTTAGCCGACTGGGCAGTCGCTGTTCGTAGACCTTGCGCCAACCCTAACCCCAACATTCTACACCAGCCCTACCCGTAACACCCTACCCCTAACGCCCTACACCTGACGCCCTGACCCTACACCTAGCACCGCAACCCCAACCCTAATACCCTGATGCCAAGCATTGACCCAGACATCAGAAATCAAAGGCCAAAACCTTCCCACCCGATACGTAGCACCCGAACTCTCACCTCTAACACTCCAATCCTACCACCCAAACAAGCTCACACCCTAATATGCCCCAACCCAATTCCCATATATAAGAACATCATATCCATAACACCCTGAACATAAAACCCTAAACCTAATCCTAATAGCCGAATCTAAACACTCTGGCCCGAACACATTAGCCCCAACACCCACGCTGACGCGCAACCCGATCACCCTAGCGTACACCCAAGCACCTAAACCCATCAAGCAGAGCAACCTTGACGGCGACTTCGACAGCGCATTCGAAGCGGACGACGACGACGACGCCGACGCCGACGCCGACGACACAGACGGCGACAAAGACAAAGACAAAGAAGATCGACGACGAAGACGACGAAGACGACGAAGACGACGACAAAGACAAAGACAAATACGAACGACGACGAAGACGACGAAGACGACGAAGACGACGACGACGACGACCGCGGCGGCGCCGGAGGCCGCAGGCGGCGCCTCGATGCCCGTCTCGAGCATCTGCTCGAGCCACCGCTCGGCCCTGGCGCGGGGAGCGGCCGGAGAGCTCAGAAGGTTCGGGCTGGGCCGTCGGGGCGGCGAAGGGTATACAGTCGGGGCGTTGACCTAAGGAACCCTAAATAAGGAACGAGGCCCCTTTTTTCCAGAAGTTAAACTTTGATTCCCCATCGAAGATCTGAAGAAAATCTAGGGCAAACTGTGAAACAATGAAGGAACACGGAGCCCCTCCTCAACGAAAAGGGTTCCTTCTTCAGCGCCCCGACTGTATCCACGTCCTCGCCCTCGCGGTCTGCCCTCCAGGCCGCAAGCCTCGCCATCGCTCGGACGTCCATTCCCTGTGCTTTTGTTTCGGTTTCGTGCGTGGTTTTTTTGCCAGATGATCAAGGATGCTCCTCGATGGACCTCGCCGAAAGAAAAATGCAAACGTCGGAGCGATGCCAGGTGATTGCTGCCACCGCGTGGCCTGGTCAACCTCGACGCATCGACGGCTCTTCGATCGCGAGCTCGTTCCATGCCGGCCCACTCTGGGCCACTGGCGGCGCTCCAGCTTGAGCGCCCGCGGTGGGGCCGCAGCTGCGTCGGCGCGACGCGAGACTACCGTAATTATCGTACTCGTGCCCCGTTCGCCTCCAGACCTCTGTTGAAGGGGCCCAAGGACACCCAAATAAATACACACAAATAAAAATATCCCCCATACTGTCCCATATTTTCTTGGTTTTTGTCTTCCCCCCACTTCCCATATTTTCCCATATTTTTGTGGGAGTCGACGATTACATTTGTCTGTGTGTTTTTCCCCTCCTGAGTATCGTGCTTGTGCCTCGTTCGCCTCCAGACCTCTGTCAGGACCGATGGCACGGAGGTTTCGAGCGTCTTCCCGCGGCGCCTCTCGGAGACCCGAGCGGGTGGGCGATATCACCACGGTGCAGGCTCGTCGCCACCTCTATACCCTCCGCCGGCACCGACCTGGTGCTGCGAGAGAGGAACGAGCGGAGAGGATGGCGAGGACGAGGGGGGCGAGGACGAAGAGGAGCGTGGGGGAGGGGGAGGCGAGGACGACGAGGATGGCGACGAGGACGAGGCCGAGGACGACGACGGACGGGAGGGACGACGACGACGACGACGACGACGACGACGACGACAACGACGACGAGGACGAGGAGGAGGCGAGGACGAGGACGAGGACGACGAGGATGCCGAGGACGAGGGGGAGGCGAAGACGACGAGAAGGAGATGGGACAGGGAGCGCGAAGGCGAGGGGATGGAGCAGGGTCCGGCCAAGATAGGCGCTTGCCTTCTCGTTCCGCTCCCGCCTCGGAGCTCGAAACCAGCGCGGAACGCTGGCGCTTCTCGCTAACCGCAGCCCCGGCGGCCTATGTGGCAAAAGCGAAAACGACAAAGGCACGGAGGCAGGAGGTCAAGTCAGACCCTCGCGCCCAGAGGAAGAGAAAGCGGCACCGACATCATCTCTCGGAGGTCCGCGCGGATGCCTTGGATCGGCGCTGGCCCCCCTCCCCATCCGGGGGCCGCTACAGGTGCCCCGGGCCCAAAGTGCCCCCAGTCGCTCGATTCTGGAGCCCCTGGGGCCCTCTGGGCCTCATAAGGCTGCTCTGGAGGCCGTGAGGGCGTCCTTGGACATCCTGGGGGCACCTTGGGTCAGAGGTACCTTCTAGCGGCACCCGACCCACGGCGCGCGCACCGCGCCGGGGGCGGCGCCGGAGGCGCCGCCCAGGGGGGCTTCAGCTCCAATGCGAGAGGTCCGAGCGGACCTCCGAAGGATGTTGCGTGCTTATGCAGCTGCTTGTGCTCCTCCTCCTCCTCCTCCTCCTCCTCCTCCGCCTCCTCCTCCTCCTCCTCCGCCTCCTCCGCCTCCTCCTCCTCCTCCTCCTCCCTCCTCCTCCTCCTCCTCCTCCTCGTCCTCCTCCTCCTCCTCCTCCTCCGCCTCCTCCTCCTCCTCCTTCTCCTCCTCCTCCTCTTCCTCCTGGCCAGCCCGGCGAGGGCGCAGGCGCAGGCGACGGCGGCGGCGGCAGGGCGGCGACCGAAGGGCGGAGGCGGCGCCCCGGCGGGCCGCCGGCCTGGCAGTGTCCCCCTGCTTGGCGCAGGCGCCGATCAGGCAGTTGTACACGGAGTTCGTCGGGGCCACGCCGGCGTCCTGCATCCTGGGCCGCGAGGGGGGAGCGACGAGATCTATCTATATATACCTCTCTATATTTACATTTCTCTATATATATATATCTATATATATATATAAATATAGATCGACCGGTATAGATGCAGACCTTATATATATGTATAGAGGTATACCTGTATATCGAACTACATATACATATACAGCTATACAAACATATGTATAACTATATATATAGCTATATATAATGTGTGTTTTATATAGATAGGTATGTATATATCGATATGTTTATGTATACATGCATATGTATGTATATGTACGTGTGGTTCGATGTGTCTATCTATATTTGTGTATACATATACATATGTATATATACATACATGCATATATACATATATACATAAGTGTGTATATATATATATATATATATCAACAGGTCCCTGGCCAGGCCCATGCTGAGCCCAGCAGCTGTGTATACGCCGTCCTGGCCAAGCCAAGAGGGGGAGGCGAGGCGTATACACGGCTGGCGGGTTCAGGATGGGCGTGGCCAGGGAGCAGTGGAATGTATAGATCTCGTCGCCCTAGAGGCGGTTTGCGCGACGGTTTCCTCCCGCTGGCCCAGCAGGGCCTCGGCTGGTCCTGCGTTCAGGTTTCCCAGGACTCCCATCGCGCCGAGGCCATTTTTGCTGGCTCGTTTCAGCACCCTGCAGCAGACATCGACGCCCTAGAGTTGTGGGCGCTCTTGCAGGGTCTCTGTTTCTCGCTGTCTGGCACCGCGTTCTACAGCGATTCAGGTTTCGTTGTTGATGGCGTGCTCGAGCGCGGCCCTGTAAAGACGTGCTGCTCGCGTCGTGCCAGGGCCGAGCTCTGGTGCATGGTGTGGCAAAAGAGTGCGGACTGGGGGGGAGTGCGGGCGGTCTCTCTGGTCAAAGTCTCTGGACATGCCACACATGCTGCTGTCGAGAGCGGTCGTATCTCCGCCTTTCATAAGGCAGACAACGATTTGGCAGACGAATATGCTAAGCAGGCCTCGGACTATGCGCGTCTTCCCAGCTCTGCCCGAGCCAAGGTCGACGCCAGTGCGAAGGTCCTCACAGAGCTCGCCACATGGGTTGCCAAGGTTGAGCCCACCATGGTGGCGATCGATTCCATCCACGTTGCCCAGCGACGCGAGGCGAAACCCCGTGCCCCGTCGCTGGTTGTTCTGTCTCCCCCTCCTCTCGTCACCCCCCAAAGCCTGCTCTCTGCCGACGCAGGGCATGCTCGTGTGGCGATCGCAGGAGGAAGGCAGCATGTCGTCCATCCCTTCAAGTTGGCCACCACTGGTCAGTGGTGCGTTGCATGTGCAGTGTGTGGTGCGAGCGGGCCAGGTACAGTACCCGCCCTGTCCGCCGCCTGCCCTGGGCCAGTTTTGGCCTCGTCGTGGGGAGGGCGGGTGTTGAGGGGTTTGGCTCGTGGGAGGTATCAGGTCAACCAGGTTTGGCACCCTTTGTGCGAGCCGTGGCAGACCGCACGGCTGGTCCGCGCGGGAGGCGGCGGTCCCGTCCTCAGGCCCGTGTCGGCAGGCTCAGAGGGGGATCGGCCTGCACCAGTGCGCCTTCCCGACGCCAGGCCCCGTGCGGCAGCCCGTGCCGCCGTGCTCGCCGCTTCCGCTGCGGCTGCCGCCGCCGCTGCTGCTGAGGAGCAGGAGTAGAAGGGCCCTTTCGTAGGCGGTTAGGATCGAACCTTTCCGCAATGTCGTGTCGAGGAGGAGGAGGAGGAGGAGGAGGAGGAGGAGGAGGAGGAGGAGGAGGAGGAGGAGGAGGAGAGGAGGATGAGGAGGATGAGGAGGAGGAGGAGGAGGAGGAGGAGGAGGAGAGGGAAGGATGCATGGCGGCCGCTGTGAGCGGTAAGCGGCCCCTGCGGGAGCAGCAGCCCGAGGGCCGCCAGGGGGAGAAGTCTTCTCGGCACAACATCGTGCTGCCTCCGCGCCTAAGCCCCCTCGGAAGCAGCTCGGGTGGGAGGGAGGAATCCGGCTTCAGCTGTCTCCCATACTCTGGCCCTAGGCCTGCTGAGATTGGTGGAGACGGGAGGCGGATCGAGGGGGAGAGATCGAGGAGGATCGGGACGGGTGGGGCCCAAGGGGGACAAAGGGCAATCGGAGGGGATCGGGAGGGATCGAAGGGGATCGGGGGGTATCGAGGGGGATCCGGGGGGATCGGGTAAAGGGTGAAGGGGTTCGGGGGGGACGGTGGGGGATCAGGCAGGATTGTGGGGGGTCGATATGAGGATCCAGGGAGATCGCGGGGGATCGAAGTGGGACCTGCGAGCAGGCCTGCGGATGCAGCCGCCGTCACCGCCGTCGTGATTGTCTGATTGTCGTCGTCGTCGTCGCCGTCGTTGAAGTCGTCGTCGCCGTTGCCAGATGACCTGTGGTGCGGCGAACCACACACCCCATCCCCAACCTGCGGGGCTCCCGACGGATCTCCTCCTCCACATCAGTATTATCCTTCTTCTTGACACAAATCGTCCCTGCTACAAGAAAGCTTCACAAAGGTTCCGCCGCTAACGTTCCACTCCGAAGGGCCCCCCCCCGATACGCCAAGGATGTCCCCCCCCGGGTTGGAAGTATCTAGCATTCAGCTACTCCTGTACTTGTGGTCGGCGTGTACTTTCTGCTCGCACTCGGCCAGCCCTTAGCCTGCCCTTGGCGTGCGATTAGCCTGATCTCTCGACCTGCCATTGGCTTGCCTCCAGCCTGGGGAGGGCAGAAAACTTGGGGAGCGGAAAGGGGGTTAAGGGATAAGGGAGCAGGAGCGGGAGGAGGTGGAGGATGGGCGGGCGGGGTCAAGGGAGGAGGGGATGGGTAGGAGGAGGGCTGGGAGGGGATGGGCAGGGGAGGGCCGAAGCATGATTGGGTGGGCAGGGGGCTGGACGCACGGCAGAAGGGGCACCGAGGGGGGCGGTCCTCTTGAGCAGGTCCTCGATGCCCGACACATGGCCGCACTTGACAAGCGCGTGCACCAGCGTACCGTAGATCTTGGCGCTGGCCTCGAGACAGAGAAGAGATAGAGGGGGATTGAGCAGGGACCGACCGTCCCGGCATTTCCATGGGCCTACCACAAAATGTTCTTAGAACCCCAAAAAACCCAAACAGCTCGAAGCACAAAACCACTGTGCTTAGAATGTAAGCCCGATGTAGTAGAACAAGACAGTCTCAGCCAGAGACGTTCTAAGAACAGTTCGTGCAAACCACAACAGATTCTTAGAACATTCGGTGGTGGGCCTATGGGAAATCCAGGACGCTTCGCCACTGCTTGAGGGGCGGATGGTGAAGGGGGCCTACGGTCATTGCCAGTGTGCTACGGTGAAGAGCGCTTCACAAGAGACGACGGGGAGCCTCCGACCCGAACAGGCTCCCGGATCCAAGTCACGGCGTGAAAACCAAAGCCCCTCCTCAGCCGGGAGTGGCCCTTTTCTTTCGCGCCCCGACTGTGTCAACCGGACACGGCCGAACGACGGTTGCTCTCCACGGAGCCTGGGCCTCCGGAGCAGGCCCGTTTCGGCCCCAGGGCCGTCGAAACGTGGCCCCTGGTGAAACAGAAAGTGGGAGCTCGACGACAAGAAACATTCCAAAGAAACCCAACCCTGAGACCCCAGGACGTCCATTGATTTCGGGTGTGGGAAAGGCACGCTTTCCATAGCAAAACCATCGAAACCCAAGAATCCCAGGGCACCCTGGAGGCAAGCAGGGGGTTTCTTGGCATGGGCTTCACTGTATCAAGTATCGGTCTTCGGGGGCAGGATCAAGAACTCTCGGGGGAGCCAAGCCGTGAGCAGGGTGGTAGCGTCGGGGGCCCCGGAGGTGAGGAGCGGGGAGAGGAACCGAGAGGAGAGGGAAGCACAGGAGGCGGAACCAGGAGCATAAGACGAAACTATTACGAGGATAACATCTGGTAAGGATAAACCGAGAACCTCCGAGGTCCAGCGGTTCTGCAGGATGTCTCGGGCGCCACGGCCTTCTCAGAGCGTGCCAGAACGCTCTGAAGGGAGTCCAGAACGCTGTGGAACGAATTTATCCTGGCCCGATCCCACTTCTCCTCCTCCTGCTCCTCCTCCTCACCACCTCCTCCTCCTCCTCCTCCTCCTCCTCCTCCTCCTCCTCCTCCTCCTCTTCCTCCTCCTCCTCCTCCTCCTTGGCAGGGGGGGGTGGAGGGACCTCCAGGAAACGCCTGAGGAGCAGGAGGCCGATGACGGCACGGCCGGGCCTGGGACAAAAGAGCACCCTCCAAGAACATGAGACCCTCCTCCCGCCAAGCCGAAGAACCTTCGAGGGTACCCTCTCCCAGGATGCACAAGAACATCCAGGACCCACGAGGAACGGCAGGATACCCTTCCCGAACCGATCTCGCTCTCATACCTCGGTCCGACCGTCTCGCCATCCCAACTGGTTTTCAGGACAGAAGCCGCGCCTCCGGCGGCCGTTCGGGGCGATCTGGTCAAACCCAGAATGCTCTCGGCGAGGTGCTGCTGCCGGAGAGCACCGCGAGGCTTGAAGACCCCGTCGAGACCCGACGAAGACTTCCTCGATTATACCTCATCCTCCTCCTCATCATCCTCCTCATCCTCATCCTCCTCTTCCTCCTCCTCTTCCTCCTCCTCCTCCTCCTCCTCCTCCCCCTCCTCCTCCTCCTCCGCCCAACCTCGCGCGTCGTGCCTCGTGGTGCGCGACGTGCGGTTCGCTTGGCAGAGGCACAACAGAGTTGGGATGGTGGAGGGTGCGGGCAAGACTTACATCCATATCCAGCGCGCCCTGGGCCTTTCTTGGAATGGGCGCCACGAGGCCGAGGCGCACCAGATATGGATAGAGACCGGTCCCCCAGGGGGCAGTGCTTTTTATCCATATCCAGTGCGCCTCGGGCTTCTTGGGGAAGGGAGCCCGACACTAGACGAGCGCGTTCCGCTACTCGCACAGTAGCTGCTCGCAAATGGCCTGGATCCGCCGAGGGGGCTGTACGATCCACTGCGTCGAGGCGAGCATGTCCGTTTTCGGACGTTTGCGAGCAGGCACTCTGCGAGTAGTGGAACGCGCTCGGTGAAGACACTCCAAGCTGCAGTGGATATGGACAGACGTATTGCCCAGGTAGGCTGTAGGCTTCGGTCGGGCATGTCCCCCTGCAGGCGGACTTGGACGATAAATAATCAGTACTCACAATATATCCAAAACTACTCCAAATGTACTCAACAACAAATCGTCCCCAGACTATGTTTTTACTTTTTTTCCCGACTGAACTGTAGGCCACGTTCGACCTGCTTGTCGGCTACACGGCCCAGCGAGACATCTCCGGGGCACCCCGCGGGAGAGGAGGAGGCGGAGGAGGAGGAGGAGGAGGAGGGTGAGGATGAGGATGAGGAGCTTGAGGGAAGGAGGATGGGAGGGAGGAGAGGAGGAGGAAGAGGAGGAGGATGGGAATCGGAGAAGATGATGGGAGGAGAGGGGGGTGGGGAGGGGGGGAAGGGGAGGAGACAGGGCTGGCGGTGAGCGGAGGGGGAGGAGAGGAGGGAGTTCGTCTTCCGCGTTGGTGTTGTCGGCAATGATGCGCTGCCAACCCCAATACGGACAGGGAAGAACATCCCTGACTGGAAAGGCTGAACTCGATCGAATCGCCACATCGGATCAGCTCGGATCGCACAACAACGCCGTGCAATCATGGGACCACATCGGATCGTCGGAACGTCGGTATCGAACCGGGTCGGGCCGGCCGGGGCCGTCAGGAGCCAAGTCATGATTCGGCCCTGCCTCCCCTGGTCACGTCACGATTCGGGCCGGCGGCATTCCTGAACATTATCAGACGGCGCCGGTGCGAATCGAGTCGTGACCGGCCCCCTCAACCCCTCCCCTCACCCCCCCTCGGCCTCAAAGGAGGAGGACGACGACGAAGACGACGAGGAGGAGGATGAAAGGAGGAGGAGGAGGAGGAGCAGTGGAGGAGGTGCCAGGGCATGACGAAACAAGCTCCAAGGAGGAGGAGGAGGAGGAGGAGGAGGAGGAGGGAGACAGAAGAAGGAAAGGAAGGCATGGAGAGGCAGGCTGCGCGGGCGGCGTGAACCTGGAGGCCTGCCTTCTCCATCGCGAGCAGCCACGCGTTGGCCCTGGCGAGACGAAGCGGCGCCTCATCCTCCTCCTCCTCCTCCTCCTCCTCCCTCCTCCTCCTGGTCTTCCTCCTCCTCCTCCTCCTCTTCTTCCTCCTCCTCCTGCTCCTCCTCGTAGTAGTACTACTACTAGTACTAGTACTAGTAGTAGTAGTAGTAGTAGTAGTAGTAGTAGTAGTAGTAGTAGTAGTAGTAGTACTAGTAGTAGTAGTAGTAGTAGTAGTAGTAGTAGTAGTAGTAGTAGTAGTAGTAGTAGTAGTCGCAGTAGCAGTAGCAGTAGTAGTAGTAGTAGTAGCAGTAGCAGTAGCAGTAGTAGTAGTAGTAGTAGTAGTAGTAGGTACTAGTACTAGTACTAGTACTAGTACTAGTACTCGTAGAAGTAGTAGTAGTAGTAGTAGTAGTAGTAGTAGTAGTAGTAGTCGTTGTCGTTGTTGTGTTCGTAGTAGTAGTAGTAGTAGTAGTAGTAGTAGTAGTAGTAGTAGTAGTAGTATTAGTAGTAGTAGTAGTAGTAGTAGTGGTGGTGGTGGTGGTGGTGGTAGCAGTGGTAGTAGTAGTAGTAGTAGTAGTCCTAGTTGTTGTTGTAGAGTAGTAGTACTAGGACGAGTAGCTGTAGTAGCAGTAGTAGTAGTAGTAGCAGTAGCAGTAGTAGTAGTAGTAGTAGTAGTGGTGGTGGTGGTGGTGGTGGTACTAGTATTCGTAGTAGTACTCTTATAGTGGTAGTCGTAGTAGTAGTAGTAGTAGTAGTAGTAGTAGTAGTAGTAATAGTAGTAGTAGTAATAACAACAATAAAGTAGTAGTAGTAGTAGTAGTAGTAGTAGTAGTAGTAGTAGTAGTAGTAGTAGTAGTAGTAGTAGTAGTAATAGTAGTCGTAGTAGTAGTAGTCGTAGTAGTCGTCGTAGTAGTAGTCGTACTAGTAGTAAGAGTAGTAGTAGCAGTAGTAGCAGTAGTAGTAGTAGTAGTTGTAGTAGTAGTAGTAGTACTCTTAATAGTAGTTGTTGTAGTAGTAGTCGTAGTAGCTGTAGTAGTCCCAGTCGTAGTTATACTAGTAGTTGTTTTAGAAGGAGAAGTAGGAGTAGGAGTAGGAGTGGACGTAATAGTAATAGTAATAGTAATAGTAATAGTAATAGTAATAGTAATAGTAATAGTAATAGTAGTAGTAGTAGTAGTAGTAGGTAGCAGTAGTACTAGTACGAGTAGTTGTAGTAGCAGTAGTCGTAGTAATAGTAGTAGTAATCGCAGTAGTAGTGGTAGTAGTTGTAGTAGTTGTAGTTTCAGTAGCCGTAGTAGCGGTACTAGTAGCCGTAGTAGTACTCGTAGTAGTAGTAGTAGTAGTAGTAGTAGCAGCAGACGTAGCAGCAGTAGTAGTAGTAGTAGTAGTCGTCGTAGTTGTTGGAGTAGTAGTAGTAGTAGTAGTGGTTGTAGTAGTAGTACTAGTAGCAGTCGTACTCGTCGTCGTGGTAGTAGTAGTAGTAGTAGTAGTAGTAGTCGCAGTATTATTATTAGTAGTAGTAGTAGTAGTAGTAGTAGTAGTAATGGTAGTGGCAGTAGTAGTAGTAGTAGTAGTAGTAGTAGTTGAAGTAGTAGAAGTAGTTGAAGTAGTATTAGTAGTAGTAAATTAGTAGCAGTAGTAGTAGTAATAGTAGTAGTAGTATATAGTGGTAGTCGTAGTAGTAGTAGTAGTAGTCGTGGTAGTAGTAGTAGTAGTAGTAGTAGGAGGAGGAGTAGTAGTAGTAGCAGTAGTAGTAGTAGTAGTAGTATGGGTAGTAGTGGTAGTAGTAGGAGTCGTAGTAGTGGTAGCAGTAGTAACAAAAACCGTCGTACTAATAGTAGTAGCCGTCTTAGCCCTAGTACTATTAATATTACTGATCTGTTCAATGGGTGTCCTTGTGATTATGAGGCCTCCTCCTGCTCGACGACGACGACGGCCACGACGACGACGACGATGGCAGGCACGAGGGCGACGATGACAACGTGGACGACGCAGGCAGGGGGTGATCTCGGGTAGGAGGAAGAGGGAGGAGGAGGGGAGAAGGGAGGAGGGAAACGAGGAGGAGGAGGAAGAGGAGGAGGAGGGAGGCGAGGAGGAAGCATGGGGCCAGCGGTGGCAGAAACGAGGGCGACGACGACGACGGCCACGACGACGACGTGGACGACGTGGACAGGGGGTGATACCCCTCGGGTAGGAGGAGGAGGGAGGAGGACGACGAGGAGGAGGAGGAGAGAGGAGGGAGGAGGAAAACGAGGAGGAGGGAGGCGAGGAGGAAATACGGGTCCAGAGAGGTGGGAGGTGGGAGCGGCAGCAGCAGATCAGGCAGAGGGCGGGGCAGGAGAGCGGGGCCTCGTGGTGTCGCCCACGCGCAGGCAGGCGTCGATGGTCGTGGTGTAGCTGACCGTGTCGGGCTGGACGACTCCCTGTCACGAGCGGCGAACACGCGGGGCGGGATCGCGTGGTGCCGACCGCATGTGGAGGCCATGCCAGAAGTAAAGCCTTCCACAAGAAACCCGGCCCTGAGACCCAGGGCGGCCATGGACTCTTGGCGTGGGCACGTCGCGCTTTTTCCGCAGGACGACCCCCCCAGCTGACCGTGCAAGGCTGGGCGACCCCCTCAGGAGAGGAACCAACGCCATAGACATAGACTCAAGTCGGGCCTGTCCCCCTACAGGGGGATTTTTGACGAAAACTAATGAATATCCCCAAACATAATCCAAACATAATCCAAAAATAGTCTGGGGACTGTTTTGGGAGTACTTTTTTGCATTTTGGGGGTATTGTTGGGGTATGTTTTATTTATCGTCGAATGTCTCCCTGTAGGGGGACAGGCCCGACCTAACTCTTGGCGCTCCGCGCCGCTTTCTCGGATATGCGCTGGGCCCCCCCTCCCTGGCGCGCGCCGGGGGCGGCGCCGGGAAGGCGCCGCCCGGGGGCCCCCCGCGCAGATATCCGAGAACTCCGCGCGGAGCGCCCAGAAGTCTACGCTTACGCTCGCGGATGCCACGACAGTGGACACTCCAACAATCCGATCATTGACTCACAGATGTGTTTATCAAAATGTAGGAACAAAGGTTCTAAACATGTTTCAAGCACGTATGACATCTGGAAACGATTCGGCAACACGCTTCCTCTCCATTGTAATCAACTTCCACAGGTTTGCGCCGCTGCTTCGGCCGCCCGAAATGGGTACGGGAAGAACGGGCACATTGCCCAACAACAAATGCTGTCCCAAACCAACAGCGGCCGCTGTTGGGCAGGGGGCCTTCTGTCTCGAACGGACACAGGCCGCGGCGGCGTGGACAGCGAGTCCTTGTCAAAATGAATGGGACATCGCAAAAACATGATCCAACATATTCAAAAGAGCACGAAACATTAGCACCATAATACTTTCTTTACTATGTTTAAGTACTCCTACTGTAGAGGGACATGCCCGATTGAATAGTAGGTCCGCGCAGAGTTCTTGGGTCGGCGCTGGGACCCCCCCTTGGCGCGCGGAGCGCCGCCAGAAGGGTCCAGCGCGGATCCAGCAAAAATCTGCGCGGACCTTCGGGAGTCTGTGGCATCACGGCGACACCGAATGCTGCACAGTGATGCTTTCTTGCGAGATCGATCGCTTCACAGTATACATCGGGGAGACGTAAGACTCGGTTCTGGGCACGCGGGTTGGCCTGACGGGGCCGTCAACGAAACTCCGTCAGAAATTTGATGTCCCGCTGCAAACATCCCCGCCAAAATCCAGGGCGGGCTCGTCAGTGGCGTCGAGAAGCCTGAGCTCCGGCGAACTCGACTCTTGCGTTTCCCCGGATCGTCCCTTCTTCGATTGCTCCATGGCGACATCCCGTTGCAAAAAGCTTCAAACTTTTTTCTGGGTTTGCTTCAAACTTGGACACCCGACATGGGCATGGAAAAACTGGGTACAGTCCCCAACAACACAAGTTGTCCAACACCGACAGCGGCCACTGGAGCCATCCTGGGGCTATATTGTCGAGCCGACCAGAAGCGAACAGGCGAGAAAGGCGAAGACATTGCTTCCCCATGGATTTTTCATTGATGTTCGAACCTCCGGTCCCTCTAGGTCCAGTCTGTGCCCTCCTTCGGGCCCCTCTGGGGACTCAGTTGGAGCCGTCATGGGCTCATCTTGATGCCTCGAGAGATGTCAAGAGCCAGTCGGAAGCGACAAGGCGAGACGACCAAAAACATTGATTGCCCCATGCTTGTTCATGGATTGTAAATTATATGGGTCCCGTTTCGACAAGCCTTGGGCCTTTGTGGGCCTCGGCTTGCGCCTCTCTGAGGCAATCCTGGGGTCAACTTGACGCCCTTCGAATCATCCAGAAGCGAAACAACGAGAAGGCCGAAACCACTGCGTTTCCAAATTTTGTTTTCTAATTCCCGACATTGGGGGCCCTGTTGGATTGTTAACTTCCCGGGCCCTCTTGGGCCAGCCTTGGGCCTCTCTGGGGCCTGTCTTGAAGCTCTTCGGGGCAGTCCTGGGGCCGCAAGAGCCGATTGGAAGCGAAAGCACGAGACACACCGGGGAGAAGAAGGAGGAGGAGGAAGAGGAGGGGCAGCAGGAGGAGGAGGAGGAAGAGGACGACGAGGAAGGAGAGAAGGACAAGGATAATGGGAAGATGCAGGCAGAGGAGGAGCAGGAAGAAGAAGAGGACGAGTAGGAAGTGGAGGAAGAGGAGGAGGAGGAGGAAAATGAATTAGAGGATGAGGGGGAGAGAGGAGAAACAGGATGAGGATGAGGAGAAAGGAAAGGAGGAAAAGGAGGAGGAGGAGAAAAAGGAGAAGATGCCCTGCTTCATGCTAGACCAACCACTCGCCTGAGACGTATTCGCGCCTCTGGACCCCGAGACGCCCTGAGCTGGCCTCAGCTGGTGTTGTCCGGTCGCTCCCGCTGAGGAATTCCTCACCCATTCCGACTTGGCGGTGGCCCGCCCCATGTCCACGCGCGCACGCACGCCACCTGCATTCGAAACTACAAGGGACAAGATGCCTGGCGCGAAGCGCCACTACAGTCTTGTATATATATATATACATATCTATGTATATATATATACATGTATATATACATATATGTATATAGAGATGGGTGAGTTTCTGCTTCGACCATTCTTGCTTCTGCTTCGACCATTCTTTCCGTACCCATGTCGATCGTCCAAGTCAAACCCTGCCCAGGCCTCGCTGATCATGTAGCGCAACCACCGCTCCGCGCGGGCCGCCTCCTGCCGTGCGCGCGGGGCGTAGAACGGCCGCGCAGCCCCAGGCGTCTCCTCCATGGCCTCCACCTCGGCCCTCCTTGCTCCGCCTCTACCTCCTCCTCCTCCTCCTCCTCCTCCTCCTCCTCCTCCTCCTCCTCCTCCTACTCCCCCATTTCCTCCTCCTCCTCATCCTCGTTCCTCGTTCCTCGTTCCTCCCTCCTCCTCCTCTCCTCCTCCCCTCCTCCTCCTTCTCCTCCTCCTCCTCCTCCTCCTCCTCCTCCTCCTCCTCTTCCTCCTCCTCCTCTCTCCTCCTCCTCCTCTCTTCTCCTCCTCTTCCTCCTCTCTACCTTCTCCGCCTCCCTCCCTCCCTCCCTCCCTCCCTCGTCCACTGGTCCCCTCAGCCCCTCCTACCCCATCCTCCCTGGAGAGAACGAGAACACTGCGATGAGACCTCAGGCCTCAGGAACAGTGTGATGACACCTGCTGCCTCACCTGTTGGTCTTCTTCCAAGGGGCGAAATACTAGCTTCTGAGTCTTGGCCCAGACCCGTGGCCAGGTGCGGGGCACGCCTTAAGCGACGTCCTGAACCTGAGACACCCTTGCCTGCCTCCCTGAGGACATGGACCTCCCTCCCTGCCTCGCGAGGAGGAGGAGGAGGAGGAGGAGGAGGAGGAGGAGGAAACAGGAGGAGGAGGAGGAGGAGGGCCTGGACCTCCCTCCCTGCCTCCCGAGATCTCGGGGGTCCCCTGGAGACGCGACCCGCAAGAACTTCGCTCTGCTCGCGCTCGCCCTCCTCCCCCTCCTCCTCCTTGTCCTCCTCCTCCTCCTCCTCGTCCTCCTTCTCGTCCTCCTCCTCCTCCTCCTCCTCCTCCTCCTTCTCCTTCTTCTCCTAGTCCTCATCCTCCTTCTCGTCCTCCTCCTCTGGAGTGGGGGGAGGGGCGGGGCGAGCTGGGAGCAGAACGACACCTGAGCGGCGAAGCGATACCAATCTCACGCGCGAAGACGCATCGGCCCAACGAAATGGCTTACGCGGACTCCCAAAGACGCAGCCTCACACAGTGGACTGAACCTCGCTGGATTGAGCCCTTGGTCTCGGTCCTGAAGCGTGCTTAGCTCCGGGAGCGGGTCTCCTGGACGAGCGGGTGCTGCTGCCGCTGCTGCGATTAACTTCGCTCCGCTACCACACGAAATCCCTCGGAGGAACTGCACGGGAAGGACGTCATGTTTTTACCCGTGGGCGAAAGTGCAACAACTCCGCAGGACAAATGCTTGAGCCAGATGCCAGTGGTAACGCTAACGCTTGATTGCGGAACGCGTGGCTCACCCAGTCCTATGGCCATGTTCTAATACATCCTCCTCCTCCTCCTCCTCCTCCTCCACCTCCTCGCTGCTCCTCCACCTCCTTGCTGCTCATGTGCGCCATCCCAGCTCCCGCGACCCGCGCCGAACGCGGCCATGGTGGGCGGCGCCCGCCTTGGCCCTGGCGCAGGTGCCGATGATGGCGTTGAAGGTCACGACGTCTGGCTCCAGGCCGGCCTTGACCATCGCCTCGAACCTGGCGCCGGGCGGCTGACCCCCACCCGTCCAAGGCTGGGAAGGGAGCCCTCTGGCTCCCCGCGGGGTTTCCAGATGCAGCTCCCGCGGGGAGGTGTCCGCAAGAACGGCCAGGAGACCGCAGGACCGATCGAGGGGCCGTCAGGCCGGATTAGCCTGGAGAAAGCCAGGGACTTCGCAAGACTTAGCGGGAGGAAACAAGATAGAGCGGTGTTGAACCAGGCTGGGCCTGTTCTCGGCCTCGGATATGCCAGCCCCGGTGCTGAATTGAACCTCCCCTGGAGTTGCATCCTTAAGAGTGGGCCTTCTTGCTCCCCAAAAGGAGGACCTATTGTTTTTGTAGACAGGGCACAGCCTCCACCAGAGGGAGGCCCCTCCTACTAGAAAGGGAAAAATGCGGCCCGCCACTGCGCAGCTACCCTCGCGGCAGTGGGGAGGCCGACTTGGGGGGGGGCCTGGCTCAGGGGGGGACCAAGATAAACCATCGTGTAAAAGTCGAAGAGAAGGAGGAGTGGGGCGAGGAGGCAGATCGCGAGGAGAAGAGAGAAGGGGGAACACACCGCGAGGACGACGAGGACGGCGAGGAGGAGACGCAATGAGGGAAGGGAACAGGACGCGGAGAAGGACTACGACAGCGACGACAAATGACGACGTCGCCGACGACGCCGACCTCGGCGACGCCGCTGCCGCGGCCCAGGCCGACGGCGCCGCCGCAGGTCGGCGACAGCGACGGGGCGGCGACGCCGACGCCGACGACGGCGGCGACGGCCCGGGGCGCACCAGCGCTCCGCGCCGTCCACGTGACCGCTGCGCGTGAAGGCCTGGGACGGCGGCGGGCCCACCCGGAGGCGCGGAGGAGGGGGGGGGGGGGAGCTGGGCTGCGGCGCGAGCTATGGGACCAGGCGGCCGCGCCCTGCCCCCCTCCCCGCGCCTCCCCCCCCCCCCCCTCCCTCCCCGTGCCACCCCTCTCCCTGCCCCCTCCTCGCTCCCCAGCTCCCCCCCTGCCCTATCGTGCCCCCCCCCCTCGTCCCCCCTCCCACAGCCACCTCCCTCCATCCCTCCCTCTCACATCCCCTCCCAAAACCCCCCTCCTCCCTCCAACCTCCCTCCTCTCTCCCTCCCTCCCTCAATATCCTCCATCCCTTCTCCAAGCGAAAAAACTCCTCCCTGTCGCACCACGACGCGTGTCGGCAGGGCGGGCCCTACGTTTCGCCTGAGACTTCCTCACCGTCTATGCTTCTAATGCGTGAACGTTTGAAGAGCTTCATGGATGGAGGGTGGGTAGTTTTCACCATGTGGCTCTCGCCTTAGCGCCGCGCGCATTCGTCGTAAAAGTGCGCAAGAATGTCCCTTGTCGTTGCTCGGACGTCAATTCCCCGTGCATGTTTCGGCGTCGTGCGCTTATTTGCCGCAAGATGATCCCAGATGCTCCTCGATGGTCCTCGGCGAGGACTAAGCGCACGTACGAGTGATTTCAAGTTCAATGATGGATGGCGTGTCGTTTTCAAAATGTGGCTCTCGCCTCAGCGCCGAGCACATTCGTCTTGAAAGTTTGCGAGAGTTTCACGAATGGAGGGCGGGCGGTTTTCAAAATGAGGTTCTCGCCTTAGCGCCGCTCACAGTAACCATAAAAGTTTGCATGGCATGGAGGGCGTGTCGGTTTCCGAATGTGTCTCTCGCCTTGCTGCCGGATGACGTGCGGGTGGTTTTCAGAATGTGGCTGTCGCCTTGCGTCGCGCGTATTCGTTTTCAAGTTTGCGACTGTTCAACACACTCTTATGGAAGTGGCAGGAATGGTGTTCTGGCACACTCGTCAGGACGCAACAGGAAAGTTGATTCGCAGCGTTGAAGTCCAAGGAGTGATGCTTTGGTACGATCGAAGGTTCTCAGACGGTTGCCTTCAAAAGGAGCACTTCCAGCAGTGAAAATCCGCCGACCCTGCCGGCGTGTGTGAGGGGCTTGCCTGTTCGAGTCGTCCTCTCCGTCAGTCATTGTCTCCGTAGTCCCCTTTGCCTGCACCCTCCTCCTCAAGCCTGTCAGCGAGAAAAATACGAGCAATGCCGTGACCGAGCCGAAGGGAAACCCCTTCCTTTTGATCCCCTCCCCGTCGGGGGATTGGGCCTGGGGGGGTAACGGGGGGGTCAGATACGCATCAAAAAATAAAAAGACAGGCCACGAGTGCCCCGACCCCGGGACGGCCCAAGAGGGCCCATCGGTCAAAAACGCCTTCACGCCATCCAGGCTGCCCGAGGGGCCTCCAAGACGCCCCAAGAAGCCTCCAAGGGCACTCCTGAGAGGGCCCCAAGAGGCAAACTGAATTGATATTCCTTGAATGTGTTTAAGGATTTGGGAGTTCCCGCCTTTTCCTCTTCCCGCCGCTCTAAGACGGCCCAAGAGGCCCCAAAGATCGCCCAAAGATGGCCAAAGAGGCCTCCAAGAGGGCCCCAAAACAACCCAAGAGGACCCCAAGGGAGCCCAAGACGCCTCCGAGACGGCCCAAAAGACCCCCAAGACGGCTGCAAGCGCGTGCCCAGGCAGGAGACCCGAACGGACATTTCGAGTCGGCCCCGGAAGGCTCCCACGAGGTCCCAAGAGGTTCCCAAAAGGCCCCAAGAGGCCCACAAGAGGTCCCAAGGAAGCCCGAAGAGGCCCCCAAGAGGCTCCCCAGAGGCTCTAAACTTTCCCCACAGAGGCCCCTGAAAGCCTTCCGAAGAGACCCTAAGACGCATCCCTGAGGACTCTGGCCCACGTCAGCGTCGTCGTCGTCGCAGCCGCCGCCGCACTTGTCGTCGTCGTCCCCCCTCAGGATCGTCGTCCCCCCTCAGGATCGCAATAATTATTGCAGGGACCTGTGATGGGGAAATGGAAGAGATTGTTGTAACTGCTTTGATGCGTCCTGGGTTCACACTGGTCCTCCTCCTGTTCCTCTTCCTCCCCCTCTTCTCCTCCTCTTCCTCCTTCTCCTCCTCCCTCCCTCCCTGTCTCCCTCCCTCCTCCTCATCCTCCACAAGTACACAATCCAACACGTATTATCGTCTCTCCCCTGATGACGTCCAGCAAATGTTCGGCTCCCCTTCGCGTACTATTTCTTACAGACAAGATTCCCGGGAGTTGGGTGTTCGTTTGGGTTGTTGTTTCAAAATTTTCTTCCCGCTGAAACGCTGGCATCGTTTTCGGGCTTCCGTCCATTCCGAATCGTGCTCCGACTGCAGCGGTGGCCTCAATTCCGCGTTTCCGCTAGTTCTGAATCACGTTCCCGCTAAAACACTGGCCTCATGTCCGCGCTTCGTTTGTTCCGAATCGCGTTCCCGCTGTAGCGCTGGCGTGATTATTTCCCTTGCCATGCCACGGCATGCACTGCAATGCAATGCAATGTCGCGCAATGCAATACTACGTGGTACTCAGCTGTGACATGCCGTGTCTTTAGTTGCGATGCTAGGATACGCATAGCTTGACTACGCAATGCTACACCATGCCACGCACGATATGCTGTGATGTTCCACGCCATGCTACGCCATGTCATGTTATGTGCCGCTATGCGGTGCCATTATTTGCGTTGCAACGCGCTGCGCTGCAAATCGTCACTGCACAACGCCACGCAATGCTATGACATACTGCGCTCTGCCGTGTTTTCCTACGCGGCGCACCCTCTCGGGATCATCGCCCTGCTCGACATCCGACTGTGCGAATAGAGAGGAGTTCTATGCCATGGTAAGGGACGGGAGGAAGGGGTAGGACGTCAGATATGACGCGAGCGCAGCTAGCTTGTCCCTCCCCACTCCCTCCTCCCCCCCTTGTTCCTCCATCATCGTCATCCGACTCCCTTTCCCTCCTTATCCCTCCTTCTCCTTCTCATCCCCCATCCCTCCCTCCCCCCTCCCTCCTCCACCTCTCCTCCCGTTCCTCTTCCTCCTTTTGCCTCCTCCTGTCCCTCCCTCCTCCATCCTGTTCCACCTCCGTCCTCCCCGTCTTCCCTCCTCCTCCTCCTCCACCACCTCCGCCTCCTCCTCCTCCTCCTGTTCCTCCTCCTCCTCCTCATCATCATTAGCATCACCATCCGCAGCATCATCAGCATCATCATGATCATCATCACCACCACCAGCATCATCATCAGCATCACCATCACCACCACCAGCATCAGCATCACCTGCATCTTCTTCTTCGTTATCAGCATTAACATCATCATCAGCATCAGCATCAGCATCGTCGTCGGTATCATCCTCCTCCTCCTCCTCGGCCCTCGAACGTCGAGGATGGAAGCGTTGGGTTGTAGTCGGCCCCTTGAGCTTCCAGAGGCCCTCCTGCCCCCGTCTCTTTCTGCTTCCACCCCCGACGCGCAGCCTTCTCCGCCCTCGGGCGCCCGCAATCTCGGCTCGGGGGCCCGGGGCCAGCCCGAAGGTGGCCGCCCCTCCCCGCCCCACTGACTACAGTGGAGGCCCGCCCACAGAAAACCTTCCACGAGAACCCCAACCCTCAGACCCCAGGACATCCCTCGACTCATGGCGTGGGAGCGCCACGCTTCCCGTCGCAAAACCATCGACACCCAAGGAACCAGGGCACCCTGGAGGCAAGCAGGGTATTTCTTGGCATGGGCCTACACTGTACACATGTCGGCACATGCCAGGTGACGCCCCACACGAGATATTGTCTTGAACTCAACGTTCCACAGCCTGATAGCATCTCGAGCAACACGGCTAGAGCCGCTGCAAACACAGAATCACGAAACTTTTAAATTCAAGGTAACGGCCTGGGGTGCTGCGCTGTCTCATCTCTCGCATACTGGTCACCCCCTCCGTCCCGTCCTGCTCATTGACTCCCTCGTCCTTCGTCCTGAGTGCTCCTCCCTTCTCCTGGTGGTCTCTGTACCCGTCCTCATCGTCTTCTTTCCACTCGTCGTCCTCCTGCCCCCCTCCCTTCTGCTCTGTACTCCCTGCTCCTCCATTCCTCCCCTATGTGTCTCTCCTCTGTCCGCGCCCTCCCCCTCCTCGCTAATCCTCCCCTCGTCTTGGACCTCATCCTTCCGTTGTTCCCAACTCGCCTCCCCTTCAGTGTCCTCAATTCTCCCCCGTACTCCTAAAAACGTATATCCTTTTAGTTGCTGTTCCTACTGTGCTGCTGCTCCTCTTCGTTGACCTCTCCGGTGTCCCTCTCATGATTGGTGTTCCCCGTCCCCCCTCATACTAGGTAGCATGACGCGCATCGTCGTTCTCGTCATTATTCTGCTCCATGTTCCCTGATCATCCCGCTGCGCATGTTATCATCATCCCCCCATCTTCCATCCCGCTTCTCTTCCTCCTCCTCCTCCTCCTCGTCCTCCCCCTCCCGTTGGCTTCCTCTCCCGCATAATGCATATCCTGTTCTTCCGTCTTTGCTCGGTTTGCTATTAGTCCTCATCCTCACTGTACTGCCCTCCTGAGTCTCAGGGGCATGCGTCCTCCCTTTCTCCTCATGATGCCACTGCGGCTGCTCGTCCTTCTCCTGCTGCTGCTGCTCCTCATCCTCCTCCTCCTCCTTCTCACCCTTGATCCTCCAGCTCCTCCTCCTCCTCCAGCTCCTCCTCCTCCCTCCTCCTCCTCCTCCTCCTCCTCCTCCTCCTCCTCCTCCTCCTCCTCCTGCTACTCCTCCTCTTTCTCCTCCTACCCTTTCCCTTTCTCCTTCCCCTCCTCCTTCTCCTCCCTCGTCTCTACTGCCCGTTCCTCCCACTCCTCCTACTGAGCCTCCTCCATGCCCTCCTCCACGGCCGACTTGCCCTCCTCCAGCCCCTCCTCCCTCGTTCCTCCTCCTCCTCATGCTCCTCCTTCTACTCTACATTGTCTCATGGTTTCAGGATATTCGTCTTCCCCCGCCACGTTCCATAACTTCCCATATTATCCTGGGATCCGACGATTAATTGTGTCTGCGTTTTCCCCTCCTGATCTACACCGTGGTGGCCTGGGAGCTGTTGAAAGCACCGTGAAGGCCACGAGCGCCTTGGGAAACCGCACTGGCGGCCGAAGGATCCCCACGGAGGGCCGAACAGGTGACGGCGGAGTCGAGGACCGTTTGATCTCGTAATAACGTTTGCCAACGTGGACCCAAAACGGTAAAGTATTGCACCGTGCCTGAGCTATGTGGTACACTCTGTGTGGTGCAAGTCGTTTCAGGGGGGGGACGCCGCTCAAAGCTCGGGGCGTGACCGCCGCCCTCCAGGCCTTGATGATGGTGTTGTAGCTGACCTGAGCAGGCACGCAGCAAACAGAGAGAGAGAGAGAGGGAGAAACAAAAAAAAAAAAAAAAAAAAAAAGCCTGGCGAAGAACCAAACCATATGCAGTTGTCAGTACCGCAGCTGCGGGTTTCATCTTCAATGGAACTCCCCATAGGATTACGAAACGTGTGAGGGGTGTGCCGAATTGGGTGCGGGTGGTGACGCATGCGGGCGGCAGCACTGGGGCCTTCGGTGGAGCTCCCCATGGGGCCACGAAACCTGTTGTTGTGAGGGGCGTGCCGGGATGGGTGGCGGGGACGCATGTGAGCGCGGCCGCTGGGGCCTTCGGTGGAGCTCCCTATGGGGCCACGAAACGTGTGAGGGGTGTGCCGAATTGGGTGGGTGTGGGTGACGCATGTGAGCGCCGCCACTGGGGCCTCCGGTGGATGATGGGGCCACGAAACCTGTCAGGGATGTGCCGAAATGGGTGTGCGGGACGCATGCGCATGTGAGCGCCGCCACTGGGGCCTTCGGTGGAGCTCCCTATGGGGCCACGAAACGTGTGAGGGGTGTGCCGAAATGGGTGTGGGTGACGCATGCGGGCGCGGGCACTGGGGCCTTCGGTGGAGCTCCCTATGGGGCCACGAAACGTGTGAGGGGTGTGCCGAAATGGGTGTGGGTGACGCATGTGGGCGCGGGCACTGGGGCCTTCGGTGGAGCTCCCTATGGAGCCACGAAACGTGTGAGGGGTGTGCCGAAATGGGTGTGGGTGACGCATGCGGGCGCGGGCACTGGGGCCTTCGGTGGAGCTCCCTATGCAGCCACGAAACGTGTGAGGGGTGTGCCGAAATGGGTGTGGGTGACGCATGCGGGCGCGGGCACTGGGGCCTTCGGTGGAGCTCCCTATGGAGCCACGAAACGTGTGAGGGGTGTGCCGAAATGGATGTGGGTGACGCATGCGGGCGCGGGCACTGGGGCCTTCGGTGGAGCTCCCTATGGAGCCACGAAACGTGTGAGGGGTGTGCCGAAATGGGTGTGGGTGACGCATGCGGGCGCGGGCACTGGGGCCTTCGGTGGAGCTCCCTATGGAGCCACGAAACGTGTGAGGGGTGTGCCGAAATGGGTGTGGGGGACGCATGCGGCCGCGGGCACTGGGGCCTTCGGTGGAGCTCCCTATGGAGCCACGAAACGTGTGAGGGGTGTGCCGAAATGGTGTGGGTGACGCATGCGGCCGCGGGCACTGGGGCCTTCGGTGGAGCTCCCTATGGAGCCACGAAACGTGTGAGGGGTGTGCCGAAATGGGTGTGGGTGACGCATGCGGGCGCGGGCACTGGGGCCTTCGGTGGAGCTCCCTATGGAGCCACGAAACGTGTGAGGGGTGTGCCGAAATGGGTGTGGGTGACGCATGCGGGCGCGGGCACTGGGGCCTTCGGTGGAGCTCCCTATGGAGCCACGAAACGTGTGAGGGGTGTGCCGAAATGGGTGTGGGTGACGCATGCGGGCGCGGGCACTGGGGCCTTCGGTGGAGCTCCCTATGGAGCCACGAAACGTGTGAGGGGTGTGCCGAAATGGGTGTGGGTGACGCATGCGGGCGCGGGCACTGGGGCCTTCGGTGGAGCTCCCTATGGAGCCACGAAACGTGTGAGGGGTGTGCCGAAATGGGTGTGGGTGACGCATGCGGCCGCGGGCACTGGGGCCTTCGGTGGAGCTCCCTATGGAGCCACGAAACGTGTGAGGGGTGTGCCGAAATGGGTGTGGGTGACGCATGCGGGCGCGGGCACTGGGGCCTTCGGTGGAGCTCCCTATGGAGCCACGAAACGTGTGAGGGGTGTGCCGAAATGGGTGTGGGTGACGCATGCGGGCGCGGGCACTGGGGCCTTCGGTGGAGCTCCCTATGGAGCCACGAAACGTGTGAGGGGTGTGCCGAAATGGGTGTGGGTGACGCATGCGGGCGCGGGCACTGGGGCCTTCGGTGGAGCTCCCTATGGAGCCACGAAACGGTGTACTGGGTGGGTGAAGAGGAGAGGAGGAGAGGATGATAGGAGGGGAGAGGAGGCGGAGGAGGAGAGGAGGAGAGGAGACGTGGGGCACCGTCTCTTCAAAACGAGGACCCAACAACACAGGTTGGTTGGGAAATAGAAACCGAGAGAGAGAGAGAGTGAGAGAAACACAAGCACAGAGAGTTCACAAAGAACAGCAATATACGGTCTATTCGTCGATGGGCTCGTCGAGAACACTACATGCGCACACACACACACACACACACGCCCCCCTCAGTAAACCCTCGCTCCGGCGACACGCTGGTCACCTTGGGTATTTCTGAACTTTGGGTTATTGCCAGGCTAAAACGCTCGGTGTCCAGTGCTTTGAGCTCAATGGTTGTTGGTTTGCGTTGTTAGGTTCGTCGCTGAGGATCACCAGTTCTGGTTAGCGTTTGTGTGCTTCCTGGTCGACGGCTGCTCTTTGTCTTCCCCGCTGTCTTCGCAACCGCTTGTTCGTTTCTGCCGCCATTCTCCCTCTCAGAGCTGAAAGAGCAACAAACAAACTGCCCGAAACAGGCCCGGAGGCCCGACGCCCCAGCGAGCAACGAGGGCAAGAGAAGAGCAAGAGGAACACTCAAAATGATAGCAAAAGTATCGCAGCACCCCGCAGATGCGGATAAGAGATAAGAGTGAGGGGGCGGACGTCGGCAGTTTGCGAGACTCTGGAGAAAACCGCCGCAGGCGCCAAAGCTTCACAAATTATACAACGAGCCCGCCACAGGCGCCGATTTTTTCGCTAAACCAATGTGGGTAGGTCGCGGGTGCGTCGCGGGTGTGTCGCAAATGGGTCGCGGGTGGTCGCGGGTGGGTCGCGGGTGGGTCGCGGTTGGGTCGCGGGTGGGTCGCAGAAAGGTCGCGGGTGGATCGCGGGGTGGGTCGCAGGTGGGTCGCAGATGGGTCGCGGGTGGGTCGGGGATGGGTCGCGGGGTGGGTCGCGAGTGGGTCGCGGGTGGGTCGCGGGTGGGTCGAGGGTGGGTCGCGGGTTGGGTCGCGGGTGGGTCGCGGGGTGGGTCGCAGGGCGGGTCGCGGGGTGGGTCGCGGGGTGGGTCGCGGGGTGGGTCGCGGGTGGGTCGCGGGTGGGACGACGACACCAAGCAACAACAGCAACAACAACAATAACAAGAACAACAACAGCAACAGCAACAGCAACAGCACCAACAACAACAAACACGTAACAGCCAGAATCCTCACCACGGATCGACATTTCAGTCACGCACCCAGGGGCAATGAATGAGCGTTCGGCCCCCTCACTCTGATATGGCAGAATGCCCGCCAGGAGAAGGAACTGAGGACATCGTCGACGGCAATGAAAACAATGCAACCGACCGATCTGGAAACGCTAGAAAAGCGTAGCTGAAAACGCCAAACCATTAATCGTTGCTTCAGCGCGTTTAATTTCTTACTGGGATCGAAAGCGCTGGTAACATGGCTTCCAACACATCGAGTTAAAAGCAGTCAACACAACTTGCATGTTTAAGAAGAACGTAGCTGGTCAAAATGGCGGCAGCTAAAGGCAAAGCGGGCGGCTGCTGCAAGACACAAACAAACACACACACACACACACACACACACACACTCTGGGGAAACCAAAAGGTACCGATACCGCTATTGCCCGGACTTCCCCCGGGGTGCGCTCCGACTGGGATCTCGAGGCGAATCCAGCGGTGACGACGAGGGCCTCCCAGGAGGCCCAAGAAAGGGACAAAGCGGGCGAGGGGCAAAGGTATGGGTACCTCTTCCTCCCCCGACGCTAGAGGCAAAGCGGGAGGCTGGTGCACACACACACACACAAAGACACCAGCAATGACGAACCAACAGCACGCACCCATACCCACAGGGGGATCGGAGAGGGCTATGGGTGCGTATTGTCGGATGGGGGTCCCCGCTCGAACGGGAGCGTTCCCCAGGGCCCGACAACCCGCACCCATACCCATAGCCAGTCCACCTCCCAACGACCCCCCTATGGGTATGGGTGCGTGTTGTTCGTTCGTCAAGCAATGATCCGCGATGCGTGCGTTCAAGGCCGCGATCCAGAGCCGGCGGCGGACGACCCGGTGGACCCCGCGCAGCGGCACAGGGCCAAGGCAGCGCCGCAGAGAAACAACGCGGCGAGCAGGGCGAGCGGAGGCGCCGGCAGGTGGAAAAGGTCGGTCCCTGAGTCCCTCCTGAAGGGCAACAATAGGGGGGGGAACTGACACAGGGGGGGATGCATCAACCTGGAATCGGCGATACATCCCCGATAGATCGGCGACAGGCCCCCGATAGTGAATCCGCACCTTTCTGTGCAGGTTGGGGCTATCAGGCCCCTATCGGCCATAAGTGGGCAATTGGGGGTCGATGCATCCCCCCTATGCCTATCCCCTCTATCGTTGCTCCCGAGTCTCGGGGCCCAAGCGCGCCGGTTGTCCGAGCTGCTTCCGGCCGCGGCGCCGAGGGGGCCCTCCGAAGGCCAACTGCCTTTGGCTCAACTCTCGCCCTCCTCTGAGCGTACGAAGGCCTCCACTTCGGCTGTGGACGCAGGCTTTGGGCCCACGAGCCGCATGCCCCAGCCCACGAGAGGCCCAGCGAGAGGGACACGCCAGCAGCTCCAAGAGCCCTTTGGAAACCCACGGACTTCCAGAGACGCCCCAAACTCCATCTCCTCTTCGATCCTCCTCCTCTCCGTCCTCCTCCTCCTCATCCTCCTCCTCCTCCTCCTCCTCGTCCTCCTCCTCCATCCTCGATCTCTTCTCGATCCTCCTCCACCTCCTTTTCGTCCCCGTCCTCGAACCTCCTGCACTCGGGCACACGATAACATGGATTACGGGTTCGAACTGCCGCGTGGGCGACATATCCACGGATCAGGGCAAAACGCGAAACGAGCGCCGCCCGAATCGACGACGGCGCGCTCCGAAATTGCATGGAGACGGGACCCACCGCCGATCCACGCGCCCTGATCCGTGCCTGCGTTTCCTCCATGCACGCACCTCTTCCGACTCCCGCTCTGGGCCCCCGTCGTGCGCTTAGGTCGGGCACGTCCCCCAACAGGCGGATTTTGCACGAAAAACTACACAAATATTGTCACGAAAAAAGGGTTCAAACGTAGCCAAAAGCTATGCGCGATCTTATGCATAAGCGAGTTTTGAACATATCATTTTTGCAGAGGGACGGGCAAGAATCCGCGGCGAAGCGCCCGCGGGGTGGACGCGGACAGGAGGGCGCGGCGCACGCGCGGCCGCGGCCGCAGCGGCGGCCGCTGCCGGCGCCCCATCGGGCCTTGTCGGCGGAGACGCCGTCTTGGCGCATCTCCTCGATGCACCGCACCGCGCCCTCGACGTCGGCTGTCCTCGGCGAGAAAGGTTAGACTGGGCATGTCCCCCACACAGGCGGATTTCGACGAGAAACAAAACAGAATCAGAGGCAGCAGCGTGGAAAGGGGACTCCCCGCTGCAATGTCCCGGCGGAGAACCGCGGGTCACGCCCGCAGGCCGCGAGGAGGACATCGACCTCCACGCCCATATCGTCCTTGACGTCCACCACCTCATCCTCCTCCGTCCTCCGCAACAAGCACCTGCTCGTGCACCTTCTCAAGCAGCACAACCCTGGCATCCCCCTCCCCATCGTCCTCCAGCTCCTCCTCCTCCTCCTCCTCCTCCTCCTCCTCCTCCTCCTGGCCATCTGGTCCTCCTCCTCCTCCTCCTCCGCCTCCTCCTCCTCCTCGTCCTGCTGCTCCTCCTCCTCCTCATCCTCATCATCATCATCATCATCATCATCATCATCTTCACCATCATCATCAGCATCATCATCATCATCATCAGCATCATCATCATCATCAGCATCATCATCATCATCATCATCATCATCATCATCATCATCATCATCATCATCATCATCATCATCATCATCGTCTTGCTGTTCCTCCTCTTCCTCCTCCTCCTCGTTTACCTCCTCCTCGTCCTCCCCCCCTCCTCCTCCACCTACTCCTGCACCAGATTATGAATAAGACGCGGCAGGCTGCATGAATAAGACGGCGCCGATGCACCTACATCCGCGGGCAGCTTTCGCGCGGGTGAACGCGCAATCGATCCCCGCGGCATCGCCCCAGAAGCTGTCCGCCCCCAATCATTGTGAGCTCTCTACCCTCCCTCCGTCTCCGTTCCCTCCACCCTACTTCCTCCGCCCTCCCGCCTGCCTCCTCCCTCCCCCCTCCCTCCCACGTCCCTCCCACCCTTCCTCCGCCTCAGATCCCCTGGAGGAGGACGGCTGGTGAACGGTGCGGTTGCGGTTGCGCGCCCGCGTGCAAGTTGAAATGTGTCGCCCAGTTGGGGTTGCGGCTGCGCGCCCGCAGGCGGGTTGAAATGTGTCGTTCAGTTGCGGCTGCGCGCCCGCGGGCGGGTTGCAATGTGTCGCCCAGTTGCGGTTGCGGTTGCGCGCCCGCGGGCGGGTTGAAATGTGTCGCCCAGTTGCGGTTGCGGTTGCGCGCCCGAAGGCGGATCGAAATGTGTCGCGCAGTTGCGGTTGCGCGCCCGCGGGGGGTTTGGAATGTGTTGCCCATGTGCAGTTGCGGTTGTGCGCCCGCGGGCGTGTTGACATGTGTCGCCCAGTAGCGGTTGCAGTTGCGCGCCCGCGGGCGGGTCGAAATGTGTCGCCCAGTTGCGGCTGCGGGTTGTGCGCCCGCAGGCGGGTCGAAGTGTGTCGCCCAGGTGCGGTTGCGGTTGCGTGCCCGCGGGCGGGTTGCAATGTGTCGCCCAGATGCGGTTGCGGTTGCGCGCCCGCAAGCGGGTCGGAATGTGCCGCTTAGTTGCGGTTGCGGTTGCACGCCCACGGACGGGTCGAAATGTGTCGCCCAGTTGCGATAGCGTGCCCGAGGGCGGTTTGAAATGTGTCGCCCAATTGCGGTTGCGGTTGCGCGCCCGCGGGCGGGTTGAAATGTGTCGCCCAGTTGCGGTTGCTGTTGCGCGCCCGCGGGCGGGTCGAAATGTGTCGCCCAGTTGCGGTTGCGGTTGCGCGCCCGCGGGCGGGTTGAGATGTGTCGCCCAGTTGTGGTTGCGCGCCCGCGGGCGTGTTGACATGTGTCGCCCAGTAGCGGTTGCGGTGGCGCGCCCGCGGGCGGGTTGCAATGTGTCGCCCAGTTGCGGTTGCGGTTGCACGCCCGCGGACGGGTCGAAATGTGTCGCCCAGTTGCGGTTGCGCGCCCGCGGGCGGTTTGAAATGTATTGTTCAAGGTGCCCTCCTGACGGTCAGTCAGTCAATCAGTCAGTCAATCAGTCAGTCAATCAGTCAGTCAGTCTCACCCCGCTCCGCCAGGAAGAAAGCAAATGTTAGAACATGGTGAACGGTACTCCAAGACATCGTCCCCAGACTGTTTGTTTTAATATGTTTGAGTCTGCCTCCTGTAGAGGGACATGCCCGACTTACGAGAAGGGAGGCAGTCCTCGTGCCAGGAGAAGGAGCGCTGGATGCGGAGCGAAGGGGCGTGCGGTGTGGTCGCGGCGAGCCTGGGCCACACTGAGGTTTCCAGACCTTGACTAGAGGCCAAAAAATCCACCCCCATCAAAACCACCCCGACACGCGAAGTCGTTTAGTAAACGTGGGACGCACAGAGACAATCTAATACTATATGTCCTCCTTGGAGGCGCGCGTCCGACCCGAACACATAGTATACAGATATTGTAGTATATCGTTTCCCGAGCGGTGTGGCCAGAAAGCGCCCGCCACGACGCATATACTGTAAGATTTCTCGGTGTGCGCGTCGCCCCTGTGGGGGGCGACGCACATATAGTACAAGTATGTTGGGGTGACGCCGATGATAAACACTTCGACACGCGAAGTCGTCTAGTGAACGCGCCCAAAGAAGGAATCAAACAGGGCAGGGCTGTCTAGTAAACGCCCAGAGCCCTTGAGCAAGCGCCAATTGTCTGGTCCGGGTGGCTTGTCCTCCCTTGATTGACGCAGGGAACGGCCCGGACACCAGAGGCCCTCCCTCCTGAGCCCGAAGTGGTCCTTACTTCGGCGTCTTGACCGTGGGGTTAAGTCGGGCGTGTCCCCATACAGGCGGAATTTGGACGAACATTGAACATACTACAACTAGCAGGACAATCGTCCCCAGGCTATTTTTAGACTACTTTTGAATATTCCTCCTGTAGGGGGGACATGCCCGACTTAAGTCTTGACCGTAGGGCAAGACAAGGAGGCACGAGCATAAGCGGCGGTCACGGTCGTCTGGGCTGCTCCAAGCTCCATCACTCTGGTGGGGGTGGTGCAGTAGGCTTGGGGCAATTGTGTTGCAAATGTATTGCGCCAGAGAATTGCATTGCATTGTATATTGCACGCGAAAACCCAGCAATACACATGCGCCCCGGAATGTAAAGCCCCAAATGTTTTTGCGCCCCGGAATGTATTGCACGCCCCGAATGTATTGCAGCGCAACATATCTATTGCACAAAATCTACTGCACCACCCCGTGGTCGCTTGACCCATTTTGGGTCAACCCGACCCACATCGTTCCACTCCCGAGCTGCTCCACCACATCGTGTCTCTCTGGGCCCCGCCCCGATCCAAGAAGCCCGCGAAGAGCTCCGAGAGCGTCAGTGCCTGTGCGGTGCTTTGCTTGCTCTCCTTCGAATGCTCTCTCGGCGGTGGACAAACCTCTCTTCAGTAAACCTCCCCTTCGTGAAAACGGCCTGGGACCGAAACCGACGGACCTGAACCCGCAAACATGACGACCGCGACGCCCTCTCGCGAACCGAAAACGGCCAATTCTTTAATCGACGCGTCAGGGTAGGAGGTCTATCAACCTCCGACTCTCCTTCGAGAGGAGGACGGCCCTCCTCCTTGCCATCGTTCCCAGGGGGCGGTCGTCTGCCCCCTCCTGGCCCCGTCCCGTGGAGGCCTCCGTCCACCTCTGGAGGCCCCCGGGGGCGAGGGCGGAGACGGGGTCGGTGCTGCTGAGGACGCCGACGGCGTGGAGGGGAGCGGCTGGGACACCGAAGTCGAAACGAAAACAGCCCACGAAATCGCCAAAACACCATTTAGGCCCAGCCCTGGCTGGAAAGAGAAGCGACTCGCGCGAGCTCTGGGAGAGCCGCGCGCAGGGCCGAGAGCTCCGCGCGGATCTCCGCAGGCTCGTGGCTGTGCCGTCCTCCTTCTTCCAGGAGGGTGGGGAGGAGGGGAGAGTGAACTCATCGTTGTTTTCAGTACTAAATCCTTGTATTTTGAACACATGATCCGCACGCGGAGCATGTATTAAAAACGGCACTGTATGGGGGGGGGGGCGGGCGGTGGAGGCGCAAATAGTGAGAGGCCTCCTTCCCTCGGCCACCCACCCTCCCTCGAGGGCCGAGCGCTCCGGGCGTACAAGTTGAGCAGGAGGTTGTAGCTCATCGTGTTGGGCCTGTCCCCCTGGCGCCCGCGGGGGGCTGGAGCGGCAAGGGCGGCATGGCACGAGGCCTCGCGGCCTCGCATCCTCCAGCTTCTCCTCCGCGCTCCGAGCTCTCCTCCGAGCTCCCCTCGAACTCCTCCTCCTCCTCGTCCTCCGCCTCCTCCTTCTCCTCCGTCCTACTCCCCCCCTCGTCCTCCTCATCATCCTTCTTGGCCTCCCTCTCCTCCTGCTTCCCCCGATCACTCCTCCTCCTCCTCCTCCTCCTCCTCCTCCTCCTTCTCCTCGAACACCTGCTCACTCATATCCCCTTGAGTCCCCCACCCCTGCACAGTATGCTGCCCATCTACCTCCTCCTCATCCTCCTGCTCCTCCTCCTCCTCCTCCTCCTCCTCTCCTCCTCATCCTTTTCCTGCTCCTCCCTCTCTTTGTCCGCCTCCTCATTGCTCTCCTTCTCCTAATCTGCTCCTCCTAGTCCTCCTCTTCCTCACCCTCCTCATCAATTCTCGATCTCTTCTCGATCCTCCTCCTCCTCCTCGAGCCTCCTCCTCCTCTTCCTCTTCCTCTTCCTCGTCCTCTTCCTCCTCATCCTCGTCCTCATCCGCATCCTCCTCCTCCCCCTCCTACTCCTTCTGCTCGTCCTCCCTCTGCTCCTCCTTCCCCTGCCCCTCCTCCTCCTCCCCCTGCTCATCTGCTCCTCCTCTTTCTCCGCCTCCTCGTCCTCCTCTTCCTCCTCCTCCCCCTCCCCCCCTCCTACTCCTTCTGATCCTACTCCTCCTTCTGCTCCTCCTCCTCCTCCTCCCCCTGCTCATCCTCCACCTCCCCCTTTTCCTCCCCGTCCTGGTCCTCCTCCTGCTCCTCCGCCTCCTCCCTCCTCCGAGTCCACCGCCCGCACTCCCTCATCTTCCCGTCCCCTTTTGTTCTCCGCAAAACAAGAAGGGGGAACTGCGCAGAGGACGGCGCAGGGCGGGTGGGGGGAGTCGGATGCCTCTGGTCGCGCATCTTTCCCCTCCTCGTCCGCCCTGCTCCTCGTCCACCCCCTTCCTGGCGCCAAGCGAGGGGAGAAACATCAGAAGGAGAAGGCCTTCTCAGAAGGCGGCGGGAATTCTCAGAAAACCCTCGCGCCTGCCAAGAAGTGTGCCGTGCCTTCGGGGAAGGCTCAGGAAACTTCTCGGCGGAAGGCCTGGGGACGTCCGCCGAGCCTCCTAACAAGGCCCGCTCCTTCGCCCCCTGGCTCGCCGCCAACTCCCCCTTCTCGTCCACCCTTGCTTTGGAGGCCACATGCGACCCCTACCCTACCTCCCCCCTAGAAATCTTGGGGTGGTGGGGTAGGGTTCGCATGTGGCCTCCGATTACCGTACATCCTTCTCGCAGCACATCCAGGCGTGCCGGCCACTATGGTGGGAGAGCATGAAACGTCCAACCGTCGCACGGATGGAAGACAGCCCGCTGTTCTAGGTGGCGTTCGTCTTGGCGCCACGCACAGTCTACTGCAACGAGCACGCATGGAGGGCCAGCCGTCTTTAACATGGGATTACTGCCTTCGCGCCACACGCGGGTCCCAGGAATGTGGACCATAGGTTGCTTCGCGCACGCGCCGCGCAGAAAATCGTCTTAGACTGAGAAAGATCAAGGCTGCGCGGATGGGGATCGGTTCCCTGCAGAAATGCCCTCTCGCATCGACATATGTGAAGACTCGGAACGGAGGACTGCGGAACGACTACACGGAAAGAGAAACGAAACGAAAGAATTCGCATAAGGCTCCAGCATATGAGAAGAGTAGAAGCGACAGCGGACGAAGAAGTGAGGAGGAGAGGAGAAGAGAAGAAGGATATAGGAGGACGCGGACGCGCCCCCGAATGCCACTGGAAGCCTCTGCGGGTCAAAACAAACCCAAGCACACCAAGCAATATAGATCCTCCCGCCTCTGTTTCTGCCTCCCTCCCTCCCGAGCGAGCGACGACAACGGCGGCGCCGGCGTCAACCGACGAGGACGAGGGCGATGACGACAACGACGACGACGACGACGACGACGACGACGACGACGACGACGACGACGACGGACGGCCACGGCGACGGCGACGGCGACGAAGGCCGATGGTAAGGACGACGACGGACGGACGGCTCCCCCGACGTGTCCTGAGGTGTGCTTGGGCCACGATAGTCCGAAGCTGGCCCGGGCGTGGCGACGAGAGGCCTCCCAAGAGCCCCAAAGGAGACTCAACACGTCTGGAGACCTCGATCTGCGAACCTCGGGGATCGAAGCTCCACTATCGAAGGATCGATGCTCGAGCCTCGAGGATCGACGCTCGACTCTATCGAGGTGGGACGACGGACGACGCCGGACGACGAACGACGTCGACCCTGACGATCGGGCACACGCTGAGGGCTAACATGTATCACAGAGCCATGGATCTGGCGCGTGGGCACCAGATTCGGCGGTGGACAAACCTCACTTTAGTAAACCTCCCCTTAGTGAAAACGGCCTGGGACCGAAACCGACGGACCTGGACCCGCAGAACTGACGGCCGCGCACCGAGAACGGCCAATTCCTCAATCGACGTGTCGGGGTAGGAGGTCTGTCCAACCCCGACAGATGGTCACCACATCCACGGATCGGGGAAAGTACACGCCACCCCCCGAGGCGTGAGCGACTCGGCAGCCTGACTCGGCGCCGGAGCGCGCCGATTCTGCGCAGAGGCGGGACCCGCGGATGACCTACGCGCCTCAACCTATTCTTGCCACGCGTGGATGGATGACGACGGACGACGACGACGACGACGACGACCACAGAGACGATGACGATGACGGCGGCGGCGGCGGCGACGACGGCGGCGGCGGCGGCGACGACGACGGCGACGACGGCGACGACGGCGACGGCGACGGCGACGACGGCGACGACGGCGACGACGGCGACGGCGACGGCGGCGGCGGCGGCGAGGTGCCCGCTCGCGCATCTCCACGAAGCAGGCGCGCGCCCTGGGGGAAGGTCGGCGGCGAGCCTTCTCAGAAGGCGTCGTCGTCGTCGGCGTCGGCGTCGGCGTCGGCGCCGTCGTCGCCGTCGTCGTCGTCTGCGGCGGCGTCGACGTGTCGTCTCGTCGTCGGAGCCGGTGTCGTCCGTCTGGCCGTGGCGACGACCACCTTCCGAGTCGCCCAAGAAGCCTCCGAGGCGAGGGCGGCGTCGCCCTCCGCCCTCGGTTGCTGCCAGTCGGCGGCCAGCTCGGGGGGGATTTGAGAAGGGGCCAGCCTTGCCAGAAGACTCGAACGCTCCCCAGCCTTCTGAGAAGTGTCATGAGCCTTCCTCGAAGACTAGACAAGCGCGTTCCACTACTCGCAAAATAACTACTCACAAATGGCCTGGATCCGCACACCGCGGGGATCGTTCAACCTTGAACGATCGAGCGTTTCCGAAAAGTCCAAATCGCTCCACATCGAACGATTCTGGGTTGCCCGCGGCGTTCAACGTGGAACGCCGCTGGCGGGGTCGCCGCCGGTCGGCACGACACGAACCTGTCGCACCGGCTCAGAGGAGTCGGCGATCTTCTGACCCGGGTCAATCCAAACCCGGGTCAGCAGGAAACCAAACAACTGCAATACAAGAACAAAAAAAAATGCAACGCAGGTCTTCGCAAACCCGGGTCAGCCAATATGCGCGACCGCCTCGCGGCCACGAACGGCTCGCTGACCAGGGTCAGCCAAACGGGGGTCTTTGCAGGATCCTGCAGGATCCGGAGCCCTGGCTGACCCCCGCTTGCATTGACCCTCGTCTCTTAAAACAGGGCCAGGATCGGGATAAATCGCTCCAGAGCGTTCTGGAGCGCTCTCAGAGCGTTCCGGGACGCTCTGGAGCGGCCGCGGCGCCCAATACATCCTCCAAACCCGCCGATTCTCAGGGATTTCGAGTTATCCCGATCCGATGTTGTCCCGATCTTCGCGTCGTTGTATCTCTTGAGCTCCGAAGGAGGAACGCCAGCCTGGAACCGGCGATGCATCGCCGGTGGATCGGCGACGGGCCCCCCGATGGCGAGCCCGCCTGCCGCGCGCTCCAGGGCGGGGTGGGCTGCGGGGCCCCTGCCGGCGATGCATGGGCGACTGGGTGTCAGTTGCATCCCCCGCGGAGCCTGCCCCCCCCCCCCCCCCCTGGGGAGACTCCACCTGCCTGCAACAGGCCCTCCTCCTCGTCCCCTCCTCCTCTCTCCCTCCGCTCCTCCTTCGTCCTCTCCTCCTCCTCTTCCTCCTCCCTCCCTCCTCCTCCTCCTCCTCCTCCTCCTCCTCCTCCTCCTCCTCCTCCTCCTCCTCCTCCTCCTCCTCCTCCGTCCTCGGTTTTCGGGTCCTACGGTCGGCCCGTATCAGAAGGATGCAAGGGCCTCGGACGCCCATGTCGAGGCTGTTCGAGCGAGGAGCGGCCAACGAGAGCGGCCAAGGATGGGCCGAGGAGGCAAGGATGCAAGGGTACCCTTGGGAAGGTTGCCCATCCTTACTGTGCGGGTTGACTGTACCTCAGGTCTCCTGCGACCGTTCGGGGCGATCCAGGCCCCCCCCCCCCCCGGAACGCTCTCAGCGGGGCGCAGCTGCAGGAGCGCACCCCGGGGCTGGAAGAGCGCGAAGAACCGACGAGAGCGCCCGAAGCCCTGGGCATCGCACCTGGAAGCCTCGAACCAAGGAAGAGGAGAAGGAGGAGGAGGAGGACGAGAAGGAGGAGGAGGAGGAGGAGGAGAAGGAGGAGGAGGAGGAGACGGAGGAGGAGGAGGAGGAGGAAAGGGGGGGGAGGGGAGAGCTGGAGAAGGAGGAGGAGGAGGAGATGCGGGGGCAGGCGGAGGAGGAGACGAGGAGGAGGAGGAGGAGGAGGAGGAGGAGGAGGAGGGGGAGGAGGAGGGGGAGGAGGAGGAGGAGGAGGAGGGGTGAGGGAAGGCGAGGAGGAGGAGGAGAGGAGAGAGGAGGAGGAGGAGGACGGAGGAGGAGGGGCGAGGAATCCCGCGTCGAGCCCGTCCTCCCCGCCTGCTGCCTCTCGGGAGAGGAGGAGGCCGCCATCCTCCCCGCGAGGGCGCGAGGCGGAGGCTCCCTCCAAAGACCACTGCCGGGGGCGATCGGTCCTCGGCCGGGCGCCTCGGCGGGCGGCGCGTGTTCCGAGAGGCATCCAAAAGACCTTTGGCCCTTGTGCTTGCCCTTCTCCTCCTCCTCCTCCTGTTGCTCCTTCCTGCTCCTACTCCTTCTCCTCCTCCTCCTCCTCCTCCTCTCCTCCTCCTCCTCCTCTCTCCTCCTCATCCTCCTTCCTCTCCCTCCCCAATCTCCTCCCAACCTCCTCCTCCTCCTCCTCCTCCTCGTCCTCCTCCTTTTCCTCCTCCTCCTTCTCCTCCTCCTTTTCCGCCTCCTCCTCAGCCTATTCATCCTTCTCTTCCCACTCCCTCATCCATCCATCCATCCACGTGGCTGCAGCCGCCCCCCCCCCTTGGGGCCGACCAGGAACCAGAGGGCCACCCTGCAGCGTCTCGACGGGGTCCCCACGCTCTCGGCGAGGTCGGGGCCCCTCGGGGGCCCGAGGGGGAGCTCCCTCTGCCCCCTCGTGCAGGAAGTGATGAAACCTCGGCTGCCCAGTTCTCCCCGGCGGGACAGATCCACACGTCGACCCACGGCCTGCCAAGATCCACCCAACGCCGATGGCTTCTGCACGAGTGCCGGGACGCGTGCCTCTGCGCCTGCCGAGGCCGCTCCCGAGGACCGACCGCCCACAGAGGTGGCTGGACAGGTCTGCGCCTCGGACGCAGGGGACCGAAGCACAACACCTGGGGAAACTAGAATTATGTCGGGCGTGTCCCCCTACAGGGGGATTTTCGACGAACAATGAAAAATACCAAAATTACTCCGACGGTAGGACCCCACATGAGAATCTGTTTAGGTTACCCTTTGCCCTTTCATCTTCCTCCTGGGGCTCCCGCCTGAGACTTCCTCGCAATTCACTCACAGACGAGGCTCCCGCTCGAGACGTCCTCCATATTCATATCTCAAGAGCCCAAAAGTGACGACAGTTGCACGTTGCGGATGACCCGCTCGGATTCAAACATGAAG